TGACCTCCACGGTGTGGGGAAGCGCTCATCCAGCAGTGGATTGATAGATGGGCTGTGCACGAACAGTATATGTACGTTTAAGTAAGACCCAATTGAGCAACTGGAAGGATGAAGGACCGCACACGTGCGCACACCGCACACGTGCGCGTATTTGACTCATTCGATGTCGGTTGCGACGACCTCCAGCTCCTGTGGTCCGCGTCGATCGGGCAGCTATCGTCGGCATTTGCATTCGCCCGAAGTGGAACGTGGAGCATAAAAAAAAAGACAGATCAAAACAAACTTGACAGGCTACCTGTGGATAAAGTCGACGGTGTATTTTTTTCGGCAAAAACAGAGGCGCTTGCCAATCACGCGCCGCTGCTGGTACATTCTGTCGCCCTCTTCATTTTGCCTCCAGCAAATTACTCGCACCCCACTTTTCAGGATCGAGGACATTTTAGCGTAATCTTTTCTTCAAAAACATTTTACATTTCAATGAAACTGGTTCGTTCGCTTCCTCGCTCGGCTTCCTAGCTCGGCACCAGTTTATTAACTCGTAAAAAATAAAAACCCACCACGTACACAGTACTGTTTAATTTTCCATTCTGTTATGCCAAATGTAAACGTTTGTAAATTTGTGGAACCTAAAAAGGGGGGGTGACCCGAGAACCAGTTTGTATGGGCGAGAGCGCAGCTCACCGAGCAGCGCTGTGAATAATCCCATTCTTTATTTGTCTCCTCGTTATTCTGCGCCAGAAGGGAGAGCAGACTGCCTGCCACTTTATCCCTCGCCCTGCGCCCGGCTCACATTTGGTTGCCGGCGTCTTTTGTTTATGGACACATCCCTGGATATGTATGTGCACGGCACGGACACACGTTCGTGGAACATTGTCGGCAAAGCGAAATTCCGCACGTCGATATACGGGAACTGATAGTTCCTGAAAAAGTTGTCCGTAAAGCAAAACGACAGCGTGTATGGAGTTGCCGTACAAGTGGGGATGGTCGCATAACCAGATGGAGAGCCCTTTACATAGCCGTCAGCCCCTTATCAGTGCCCTACCTTATTACAGACCAATACAGACCTTATTGGTCACCCCGTGCCCTTACAAATCTCAACGTTCATCCTACAAAGTCCCATCACAAGGGAGAAACACAAACAAAGAGATAAAAAAAATGTTTTTACCGTATTGAAACGGCTGTACGTTGTATGGACGTGAACTCAATTTTCCTCTACAAGAATACGGGGTACATCGTATGGCTTGACAGCTGTGCCTTCGAGACCAAACATAGCTTTGTCAAGGGGGACGACTCGTACCATAAAAGTTCACCGCCTTCAATTCCTTACCCATAGTTGCATCTCCTGAGTCAAACGAGATGTCATTTCGTGCACTCGGTAGTGTTTCTGCTTTTGTTAAAGTGACAGAAGGAAAGTATTTCGTGTTTTCGGTGCTCTCTTTACGCCCGCCTCGTCGCGTGTCTTGATATTGCTGCGATTTTCCACGGAGTCGCTTGTAACCTGCTTCGTCCTGGAAAGTTCAAGTAAACCGAGCGTGTAAACCCCGCTCAGAAATGCAAAGCTCCCTACTGGGATGTCCAACACTCGACCCCGTCGTTGTTTGCTTGGCCACATTCATGGCGATGCGTAACAGCGAAAATATTGAAAGTTGCAAAATGGCCCAAGCACTTGAAAAACAAGCTGTCGTCGCCGCGTCCCGGTCCTCCTCGGGGTGTCGTCGCCAAAAGCTGACAACAGTTTTTTTTTTGTTGTTGTTTCATTTCTGGGAAAGAGAGAAAAAGAGTCGATGCTATTAAATTAAACTTCTTTCTTTCTCACAGCTCAGCAAATACCACGCCCGCTGCTTTTAAATACACACGGACGATGGCCGTTGACTGCTCGATACTTTCGGGTTTGATAGCTGCCTCCACTGGAGCTCGACGCTCGGCTGGCCACGTTTAACTGGTTTTGTAAGAACGTATCTCACTTGTTTTTTTTTTACCCCAATGCGGCACCCTGCGATGTACCTGGCGTTTGCATCGAGTGACAGGCCTGGCGGCAAGAGTGGTCACTGGGGCGTGTCGCACGTTCAACATACGAAGCGTCAACATCGTCTTCGTGAAAAAAGCAAAACCCACAATGTGTAAAGTTTCGAATAAATAAAACCAGCCTGGGTTCCAGTGGATTTCGGTCATTGTACAATAGGGATGCAACGATGCATTGATTCGTGCATGCAAATGGGTCCTGATTTTAGCTGTAACCCATCGAATCGTGCACGTAATTATCGATTTGTCTCGATCCTTATGCGTTGTGAGTGTGGGTTCAGGTGAAGCTCGCTGTCATTAAAGCTTGCAGCATTCGCGACCTTAGAAACAAAATAGATTCATGAATCGAATAATGACCCCGAACCGTCGATTCATGGGGAAGCGTGTAATGTACGTGTGCATTGTGCAGAATTGGAAAATAATTATTCCGTTTAAGAATCTCCTAATATCTACCCGTGCGTTCACGCGCGTGCGTCTATGCTTGCGTGCATGGGAAAGCGTGCGCGTGGGCGCGTGTATTTCTGTAAGTATGCGAGCGCTTCGATACTCGTGAAAGTCGATAGGTCTGAGTTACACTCTCAGACGCACGGTCAGTCGCTCACTCGCTCGCACACCCGTGCACACTCGCTGTATTCCACGCGCGCTCACACACGCGTGTGTGCGAGAACACTGCTCAGCCACTGCGGCGACTCGTCACCCGCGCGTGAGCAGCTGCCGAGCTCCTAATAAGTGCCGACGTCCCCTGCCCGGACTTGGGTTTCCACGTTCTGCTGGAGAATCCGACCGTTTGTGGGCACTCGTGTTGCTCGGAGGCTCGCTCTGCAGAATCGCGGAGGCTCGGTCATCTGTGCCCCCCCTACTTCCCACGATTCAATCGGTTGTCACGAACTTGCGGCCTGGAGGGAGGACGTGTGCCCATTACATACACCATCTCATCATCAGCCGTGATCAAGCCAGCCAACATTTATACAAATTGACAAACATCAAATCTTTTAACATGAGATTCGATGCATTGATTGTGATTTTAAGAGTTCTTCAATCGGTGTTACCTCTACTACTGTACTGTGAAAGCCCTTTTGGCCATTGGGTTCGAGGTTAAATCCATTCAGAACGTGGTCGTGCCGGCGGTGTTGTTGTGTGTTGGTTGCGTTGACGTGGAATGTGTCGTCAGCCACTGAAAGGGACATTATTCCAGTCGCTCTGTCCAGCCAGGAATGTTAATGTTTCTGTGGATGACAGTAAAACTATCTCTGCGCTGGTGGTTCTGTTGAACTGTTTACAGCTCATTAGCTTGAAGACCCCCGCTCTCTATTTTTTAAGCGAGCAACTCCAATAAGTGGGGCACATCTCAATTGGCAGGAGGCCTGGCTGTTTGTTTTTCACGAATTATGGTGCTTTATGGCAGGTGGATAATTTGCTTAATGATACAGACTGGCTGTGGCCTTCAATGGGGGGGGGAGGGGGAAGAGACAAATGCCCGGGGCTGTTTCACTAGACGGGGGGTAAACAGGCGAAACGCCACCCTCTTAAAAACACACCAAGCCACACTTCCGTGCCGAGGAACTGCCCCCCCCCCAGCCGCCCCTCTCCCCAGCACAGGACCAGGATTGAGTTACGCTCACATTTATAATTTAATCACTTTATCGTCTTCGTGAGTTATTATTATGAGCTGGAGGTCAACGTGTAACTTGAACATGCTTTGCGCTCGACTCTCTGCGTACGGCGTTGGGGGGGGGGGCGGAATTTGAAGTCTGAAAATCGAGGCAAAGTCGCCGCTCGTGATGGGGTAGCGCACTGCCCACTGTGCCGCCGAGCACTCTTCAGATTGTGAAACCGTAAATCGGTGACGGGGGAGCGGACGGCCGGATTCCCATTACAAAACGGAGCGCTGCGATGAGCAGACCGCCAGCGTCACCGCATTGGGGGAGGCAGCGGACTCGACGCACGCCGCGTCACAATGACAGGTTTTACCGAGCAAGTGAAACCGAAGAGGTGTGCCCAGCACGGAGACGGATGGCGTTGCGTTACAAATATTCCGTAGAGGTATGTTTCGAGGCGTCTTTAGGAGATGCCACTTCACAGCGCACGGCTGGGTGCGCTGTCGCCGTGAAGTGGAGTGTGCGGCTTTTCCCCACGCACACTTTTTATTGTAAAGACTCAAACGAAATCGATTCAGCGGTGAACACAACGTGCAGGAGCTGTACTGCCATTGATCAAGTGCCGCTGCAAGGCATTGCGGTGGCTTTAGTAGAGCACAATGAGTTCACTGGGTTTGTTTTTTTCTCGATCATATAAGCAACAGCGTGATGTTTATTTCCGTCGATGAGCCTGAGCCACTGAAGTAAATTCCACATTCCGATGGTAGGAACCGGTCCCTCCGGTAGAGAAGCAATTGCTGACTTCACTCACAATTGCGAACACGTTTTATTGACTCCAAAGGGAAGATGAGCTGAGCATATGTGACCACATAAACACGACTGTGGTCAACATGACCTGTAGTATAATAATTTATTTGATAGCCATTGGCATGGACGATGTATTGATCCGTGCTCATGAAACCTGCATCGAATCATATGTCTGATGATTGATTCTTTACGATTTGCACAAATTGTATGCAAAAGGTTTTGCTGGTGTTAGGTTTAGGCTCAGGAAGTGAGCAAAACCATACCAATGAGACAGAAGAACATAAAAAAGCAAATGATAATTAAATAAATTATCCACTGTTCAATCAAATCATGTTCAAGAATCATGACAATTGAATCACTTTTTGCGAGGCGAACCGTTGACTGGCCCTTCAGACATTTTTTTTATTTTGATCATCGCACGTGGCACCTTCAGTGTTATTTATTGATGTCTCCATCTCGGAGCGCGAGAGGTGGCGTAGGGACGACCTTGTTTGTCCGTGACCCCCTCAGGTCGGGCCCCTCTCTGGCTGGCCTGCCTGACACGCCGTGCCGTTGCTTCTACTCTCCCCGCAGTGTGCGTCGGCACGGAGCATCGCCTGGAGCTGCTCGTGAGCAAGACGCAGCATTATGAGTCGCTCAAGATCCTCTACCAGGGCTGCGAGGTGGTGCTGGGCAACTTGGAGATCACACATCTCTCCAGGGGAGACGACCTCTCCTTCCTCAAGGTGAGGCTTGACGCACACTAAGCGGACTCGCCGGACCGTTGTGAAGCATGCCTGGAACCGAATCGCGGTTCCATTTTATGATTGCGCTCAACGTCTTCAAGATCCTCCACGGATTCTCCCCTGCCTAAGGCACTCCTCTCACCTTGCTCTACTCTCCTCCATAAACTCTGCTACATCTCCCCTCTCATCTCATTCTACTCCCCTCCACTCACTGTCCGCTCCAGCAACCAAGACTCTCCATCGAAGCCTCCAGTTCACCTTCGGTCAACGGAATGTCGCTCATTGGCCTCTGCTGCTGCCCCGTCGTGTGCATCTCCCTTCCCCCGAGTTTAAGGCTCAAGACCCACCTTTTCCCCCCCTCTGCCCATGACTGCACGCCGTTTTCGCGCTATAGAAGTGCAGAACATTGGTTGCTTACAGTGGCTCGTGTGCGCCCGACGGCGGAGGGGAGGAGCTCACCGGCTTCGCTTTGTACCTCGCAAGCCTCCGGTGGAACGGCCGAGAGCACCCAGTCAAGTTTACCCTGCGCGTTGATAACGTTCACTATGGGCTCCGTCCAAACAATGCCACTGCAGTGCTTTGATGTAATGCGGCTTGAGTGTTCGTGTGTGTGGTAGTGTCTGTTTGTGTCTATTTCTGTCACGTGCATTACTTGCCCTTTATGCGCGGGGTGGGGGGGGCGTTTGTACGGGTTACCGTCGTCGTGGTTGCGGCCTTGACACGGTTGCCGCACTTAATCTTCTCGCGCGTGAATTCTCCATCCTCTCCACTCTAACTCACTCGTACAATTTTTTTTCTTATGGAGTTCGAGCACGCGCGTGTGTACGTATGAATAATTCAGCATTGCATAGTGGAATGTGCCACCGTTGTGCATGTGCTTGAGCAAGTGCAGTTAGTGCATTTGAGCCTTGGATACTTTAATAGCTCCATTTTATGATTAACTTTCTGGCTTTAGTAATTTATAATATATAATAAAAGAGTCGTCCAGGTGGCTCGGTGCAAGAGTGGGTGGAGTTCAAATCCTAGTTGGGAGTTGACACGACCCATCATTTCTCTAGGGTTGATAAATTGAGCATCACTTTGAGGGGGAAGTCAACAAGTGGTTGTCTTCTGCTCGACTCGCCCCTGCGTGGTAACATAAAAACGAAAATAAACTCGAAGAGTTATTTAATTTCTATCTATATTTAAAAATACCATTCAGGTCGTTAAATATTTTTTACGTAAGCAACTCCTCTTCAGAGTGTAGTTTTTATACGCAATCTGTTTGCGTCGGTCATCACTGCTTCATGTAGTCTTGTTCGTCCGAACACAGCAGGATATTGTTACACATTTTTGCAATCTTCTGCTGCTGATGCTGCTGATCAGTGTTGTTGATGATGATGTTGATGTCAGATGGGGTAGGGGGTGCTTTGGTCCCGGGTCTGTGGACTAGGGGTACAATGTTGACCCTAACGATGGCAGGGGAATCTGCAGTTCACTCTGCGGCTCTCCTCCAACTCCCCTCCAGCTGTTCGGCTGTGGAATTCAACAAATGTCCGGCAAAAAAAAACCCCTTTGCTCCCGGGAACGGCTGCCCGCAAAAATCGGCACTTCCGTCCACCCTCCATTGATCAGCCCTCTCGGTGTAACCGACGGCTCGGTCACAGCCCTCGAAAGCCCCTGGTGCGTTCGCGCCGTGTGTAGCCTTCGTGATTGTAACCTCGCTCGAGTGATTCGTTAGCCACGACCGCGCGCGGTGCGCAGAAGCGCCATCTGCACGACCGTGGCTTTAGATACGAGCGTTCGTGTTACCCGCGTTTCTTCACTGATACAGTATTCCCTCGTTGTACGTACGTATGAACTTCTTTCACACCATACGTAGCCAACCATGGTTATCGGAGGTGCCGGGGAAGGACAATAAAAATAATTTGCGAAGGATAACAATTACCTAAAATAAACACGAAAATAAGCTATTCAACACATGGAAATGACAACTTTATCGCACCAATTTCTCGCATCACATCTATCATCACTTGATCTCATCATTTTCTCTCTCGATGGAGTGATGTAGAGTTTCAAATGCGATTCACGGATAGAAAGTTGGTGAATAACGAGGGAATACTGTGTACCCCATTGCATTGCAAACAAGGCCCCTCCTTTGCAGCGAGTTTCATGAGCCGGATGGTTTAACATCCCGGCATTGTCCCCGAGCAAAGAAGAACCAATTTCGATCGACCTCTGGTGCACTGCGTTCAGACCCCCCTCCCCACCCCTGCCGAAAGAGATTCCTCTCTCGCAAGAGCAGCTCGGTGACTAAACAAACGGGAGGCTGAGTAAGCGCTGGGGATTCCTGCTAATGTGACACACGGTCTGGTTTGCCACATGCCGCTGACCGCCTTGGCAGCCACGGAGAAAAGGAAAGTGAGAAAGGAGTTCAGTATCTCAGCGAGTGCATCACCGCCTTTGGCTGCTCTCGCCGACTTGAGTCTCTCGTGCCGTGAGTCAGTGTCGGAGATAAAGGCGATGCTGACTGATAATGCCATTTACGTGGGACTTTGGTTGATGCCCGCGATTAAAACGCTTGGGGAAAAAGCCAGTATCTGGCGGTCAGCGATATCGAAAGCCACTTGGATTTTGCAGTCTGGTCAAAAACACACTTTACTCATTCTTTATTCAAAGCTTATTACCGACACCATTTTGACGCTTACAATTATAGCAGAAGCACTGCGATTTTCTTAACTTTCAGGCTTTTCTGTCTGAACCACTGCGCGTTAAATTTATTTAGTCTTGGCTCGAAGCCAAAGTTTGAGTGAAGCCGACTCAGTACTACACGAATGGCACACACACAAGGCAGACACAAGATATGTTCTTGCATCGGAAGGCATTGGGCATGGAATTATTAACATGCCGACAAGTTGATGGATTGTCATAATTCGTTGTCGCCATTCTATGAAATCAGATATTTTTATATATTTTTGTTTGGCTCGTTTGCATGGTTTCTATTTTGTTTCTATATGAGTTTCAAACAACACACGTACGTATGCCAAAACAGTACAAAACTTTTGATTTAAAGCTTTCGTGACTTTACCGAAAAAACTAAGAATATGAAGTACAAAACTTGTTTGTGCAGTTTTGTTTGCTCCATTTTCCTACATTTAAAGTTGCCGCATAATATAGCATGATAATAATTCTCAACCTATACGATTCGGCTCGTTTATCGTGACCATCAGAATCAATTCAATCTGTAAATCAGATGCATCATTGCACGCCCAGTAGACGGACAGCCTGGCGTATGGATATACAGATTCAAAGATACCAAGGCTGATGGGGTCCGTGGATTAGCTAAGGGTGAGGGGGCCCGGCGCGTTGTACGCATGCCTTGCCGGGATGAATGTAAACTTCCACACGGCGCGCGGCTCCTCTCTCACGGCCGGGCTCGTTGCTCTCCCCCGCGGCGCAGGACGTCCGGGAGGTGATGGGCTACGTGCTCGTGGCCCTCAACGACTTCGAGGAGCTTCCGCTGGAGAGCCTGCGCATCGTGCGCGGAATGAAGCTCTACGACGACAAGTTCGCGCTGGCCATCGTCGACAACGGACAGCGCGGCCTCGGCACGGGCCTGCGGGCGCTGCTGCTGCGCAGCCTCACTGGTAAGGCGCCGGGGGTGGGGGAGGGGGCCGGGTGGTGGTGGCGTGACCGCGGCGCGTCGGCGGCAGTTGTCGGCGACGAACGGGCGACACGGACGCGTTGTTTTTCGTTGATCGCTCGACTGACCCTTGCACTTAAACTGCTGTCACTTAACCTTGGAAGAACCATAAACAGCACGGAGTGGGCGCGTGACAAATGCACACATGCGTGTGTGTGCGCGCGCACACATACGACACACACGCACATGCTGGTGTGTTTAGTGGCCGCTAAGATAAATGACGATAATGAAAGACAATGATGGTGTAGCCTTGCAAACGTCCTTACATTCCTGGGATAAATGCACCAGTGACGCTCGGGTACTGAGACAACGTCTACTTCGCCTTATAGTTGCTTATTTAATATAAAAAAGCAGAACTCAGGAAAACAAGTACATTCTATTGACTGCAACTCTAAATTTGAGCAAATGGGTTTTCTCTTTGTGAGAGACACTCATGAGTTTTGCCCTCACTTGGGCTCATCAGCACCAAATTTTACATGACTAAACTGCTACATGCATAGTTCCAAAGCAGCGTTTATTTTGCAGTGGCTCGCCGAAGATTTCTCAAGGGGTTGAAACGCACCACACAGTACCAAGTCCAGGAGCTCCGTGGTCTCAGTGACACACTTTTCAACACTTTGACAGCCCTCTCATCCTGGCAGCTTCCTCCTCCACCGCCACCTCACTGCCACGGTGGGCTTCCCGGAAAGTGGAACGTGAACTGATTTGCGTACGCATGGTCTGCACGCTGGGATGTGATCATTCCGCGATTCCGACCACGGAGGCTTGTAGGGGCCGGTGGTGGAACCCTGATTGACGGATAACGTGGCGGCTGAAAGCACGTTTACGTTAACATAAACGATAGGTTTTTTGGGGTGTTTTATTTTGGATTCCACATAATCAAGTCGGACTTGCATCGAACCGCGCTCTGTTCAAGATTTATCCGATTTGGGATTATCCCCGAGAGATTATGATTACGCAGAGATTTTAAAAAAGTGAAGGATTATAAGTTGAAAAATAATCACAATTCATTGCAGATGCCTTGTAGTCTCTGATGGCAGCTTCCGCTCGACTTACTAATCCTGGTGAAATTGTTTTATTCATCGTCTCGTCTTGGAAATTCAAATTAATAAATTGTCGCCCACTCCCAGACCCAACCAACAGCAACTACTTTCATTTTCTGCCGTAAAAAACGTAAAACTGGGTAAAGTAAGAACAATTAAATTATATTTGTGTTAAAAGCAAGTGACAGACTGCACAGAACACACACACACGTTACGGAATTCTGTGCGTGCATATCTTCCCGTGATGTATAACCCCTGCATTGACGTGATGTGCGTGATCGTAATCGGACACTCGATGCTGAAGCGCCGATCAACAACGCTAATCTGGCCACGGTGGCGCAGGGGAATCCGCACCGCAAGGAATTCGCCGCGAGTTTGTCTCAGTTGACCGCGTGCGCCGCGTTTCATTTGATTTTTTTTTAATTATTTCTCTCCCAGTGCCGACCGCTGCATACGTGCGGAAACGTACGATTTTTAGCCGCGAAGGCGCGAAGGCGCTCACCCGCGACTTTTTACGCCTCTATTTTTGGTGGCGCGGGTTTTGCCAAGAGGCGATCGTAGCCTGCCGGGGCCGTGCGCTTTTGCCGTGTTCCTAGCCCGCGGCTCGCCTCGACTTACGAAAGGTTACACGCTGGAAAGTTCCGTCCGCTCACAACGCGTTATGCCGCCACTGCCGTTGTAAACAAAGAGCCGCGGCCGGTTCGGCGGATTAATGCGTGGAATTTGAACTCGCGTTTTCTTTTCCCAATTTAACCGTGAGCCCCCAATGAAATGGAGAGGGGCCTCGCTGAGAGTGCGCGTGGAGGTGTGCGGGCGTACAGCGCAAACAACGTATAGTGTGCTCGACGCTAGCGGGTCCGTTACCCGAACAAAAGCCCTCCCTGTTTGTTACGTAGGATATCCCTGTGTACGTGCAAGCCGCAGATGCCAAAATATTGCTACTTTTCAGCTACTATTATGGTACCGCCTTTGTTATTTAAGAGTCACATTTAATTTTATACGGTTGCTTGCATTCGAATAATAATATTAAATGCATTTAAAAATAGAGATGCCTGTCACATGAGATGTTTTTATAGGTAGCTAGGCATGATGATGTGGATGGGGGCAAGTTATTTTCTCAAAACAAAGATAGAGATGTGTTTAATAAATGTAAAAAACTGTAAACTATTTTTGCTTTATCAGGTAAGGCCCACTGAGCTATATCTGGCCACAAATGACAGCTCAATGAAGCGGCTTATCACGTGGAAGTTTATAGCAGCCAAATACTCTAAACACATGTTTCTAAATGTGGAGGGAAAAACCGGAGAACCCGGAGAAAAATCCACACGACCACAGGGAGAGGGAGAGAGACGTGCAAAATCTAAATATACAGCAGGCGTCAGGGTCAGAATCGAGCACACGACCTCTTTGTATACCAGCTGAGGTAGTTAACATCTCCCCACCGCGGCGCTCATACATAAATACATACAAATGTATGTATGTTGAACTTCTTTCACACCGTATGTAGCCCACCGTGCTAACCGGAGGTGCAGGGGAAGGATGTTTTGCGTTCCTTGGGCTAACCAAATGAATGCAATACATTTACAAGGAGGGAACAGTGATCCAACACAAATAATGCAGAACTGATAATGGGGGGGGTGGGAGGAGCCATGGCAATAGAGGTTATCAGAGCCTAAGTTTTATTCCTGGGCATGACTCCTATCTTCCCTAGCCCGTACTGACCAGCGTGGTGAAGTATGTTCAAACAACCCATGCAACCTACGTACAAAGCATGGGGAGCTCGTCATTGAGCAGTTTGTTAATAAAGAGCTGAAACATTTATTAGATGCATTTTTATGTGCCTCGAACGATATTTATAGAGTGGGAAAATGTTAACAAGCGCATCTTTTGTTGTGCCGATGACGAAGGCATTCGTAGTTTAAAGTTCAAACACTGACACGCTCGTATCTCTGAGTGCGTGGCACACATTTTTGCATAGGGTTGTTTCGACTCTTGCAACACTGAAACCTAAGCTGGAACTTAGTCGTCTGGCGCTCGTTAGTCACGGATGGAGAAATTTCCCGTGGAGGTGTCGCTAGCGTAGTGAGAGGGCACGGTGTCGACTCACCAGCTCGGCGCGCGGCTCAAGTTGCGTTGGCTCCTGCGCTCAAAAACCTTCTTGCTGTTCCTCGCGCGCCGACCTCGTCAGCTTGCCCTGGCTTCTCCTGCTCTCACACTCAAAACATTTACTTCCTAGAGTTTTAAATGAAACAAAAACTATCAACTATTTTTTGTTTTCCCAGGTAAGGCCCACTCTTTTTCAGAAGCGACCTGGCCACAAATTATAGCTCAATGAAGTGGCTTATAATGTGGGCATTTATAGCAGCCAAATACTCTAAACGCATGTTTCTAAATGTGGAGGTGAAAAACCGGAGGACCCGGGGAAAAATCCACGCGACCACGGGGAGAGAGACATCCAATCTCCAAACATACAGCAGCAGCAGCAGGCGTCAGTGTCGGGATCGAACCCACGAGCTCGTGTATACCAGGCGAGGTAGTTGACATCTCCTAGCCACTGCGGCGCCCATACAAAATGTACAAATGTATGTATGTTTTCTTTCGCACTGTACATAGCGAAACGTGCTAATCCGAGGTGCTGGGGAAGGATGTTTTGCTTTCTTTGGGCTAACAAAATGATCGCAATAAATTTACAAGGAGAGGACAGTGACCCAACACAAATAAAGCAGAACTGATAATGGGGGGAAACGACGGTAAGTGCTTATCGGAGCCAGAGTTGTATTCCTGGGCATGGCTCCTATCTTCCCTAACCCGTACAATTGATAGCTCAATGAAGGGGCTTGTCATGTCGAAATTTATAGCAGGTAAATACTCCAAACGTGATGTTTCTAAATGTGGAGAGAGAAACCGGAGGACTTTGAGAAAAATCCACGTGACCATGGGAGAACATTTAAATTCCCAATATACAGGCATTACGGTCGGGATCGAACCCACGGCCTCCTGTATACCAGGCGAGGTAGTTAACATCTTACCACGGTTTTGCCAAAGTGATGCTCGTTGCTTACTGGTGCAGAGATGTTGTCTCGTATATGTTTTGAGACGCGTGCGAGAGAGGAGGGAGAAAGAGAGAATAAGAGAGGGCAATATGGAGATGTTTCGTGAGAAGTTTGGGAGAGGAGGAATGAACCTTCCCGAGAAAACTCTCTCTCGCTAAATTTTTCACGTAGGTTGGGTGCGCCTTCGTCGTTCGCGTCCTCCCCCCCCCGATTTGGCCCTGTGCACCCTCCACTGGAGCAGGAAGATGTCACAAGACCACCGGTCGTCGGACTGGATTAGCCGGTGCATTTTGTTTTGTGTTTTTTACATTCGCTGCTCTGCGTTTTAACCTCCTTCCCTTTGCCAATTCTGCTGCCGGGCGGCGCGTCGCATCGCGAAGGCGGAGACATTTTAGAATTTGCATCCCTCCTGCTGCAGCGAGCGGCATTACGTCGCCTCGTGTGCCGCCGAATACGATGCTCCCAAAGAGAATTCCTTGTGCGGTCGGCACTTCGCTTGGCACGTGTCCTCGCCAGGTGGAGCCGGGTCTCGCACACACTGCACGGAGGGTTCTGTTGCCTGGCGGCCAAACGAGCGTTGTGTTTAATCGGAATGAGCCGAATTGCCTTTTTGGCAGCAGAGGGCAGTACGGGAATTCCCACTGTTCTCCTGTACTTCTGTACTCCCACGTCGTGGACGGTTTCCCGGATTTAACAAAATGGCTGTGCATGTAAAGGCGCAAGGTGTATTATGAGAAGCCGGTTTTAGTTTGAAGGGTTTCTCTGCGGAGTTATTGGTATCCTAGTATCGGCCATCAGGCGATGCACTCGATAGGCCAGTTTAATCATTGTGAGAGGTGGTGGTGTCTTGACGAGTCTTTCATTCAACAGTGACTTGACCATAGCTGATGATGGTAGATACAATGAGTCAAACCTGCCGTTAACAGGATATTCTTTTACAAAACTCACATTGGGTATATGTTAACACGTATCACACACAGGAAACTCTAAATATAGCACCATACTTCGGGAAACGGTTCAGTTGACTGCAGTGCTTAATCATCAACCAACAATCCTCACCAAGATAAAGATCCCCCGTCTAGCCTTAACAGACTATTGTGGGGCAAGTGCTGTTAGCGAGGACCTCGTGTGCCATGCTGGACTATGAAGGCTAGCATGGCAGACGAGAGGGTGGGTTGCCAGCACCACGCCTGGCTGCCTTTGTCTCCCAAATGGCGATGTTTACACACTGCACCAGGCTGAATCGACCTACGGGAGGCCCAGGACTGGTTCAAATAATCGTTGCCGGTGTTGGCCGTAAGCAAGCATCGAACTTGGGGCGCCGCATTCGTAGCGCAGAGCGCTAACCCTTGCGCTACTGTTGGCCACCAACAATCATCACCCCTGCCTACTGCACCCCTACCCTCTCCTTCCCCGATTGTGCAGTTAGCACACACACACACAAGCAATACTCAATTCATGAGCAATTTCTTTCGCAATTCAGCGCCGTCATTCGGCCAACCAATCGTCCGTGCGAGCGACGATGTCCGTTGGCGATCCGCTGTTGGTAATTGGTCAGTCCGGTGGCAGGAATGTGAGGGGACGGGCGGAGTCCGAGAGTCGGGTTACCTCGGGAGAGGGTTTGTTGTCGAGAGGATGGTGCTGCTGTGAGCACTCGGACGCAGAAGTCTGACAGGTTCGACGTGCCACCTGCTTCCAGCGCACCGTGGGCTGAGAGGCCTGATTGATTGATCGCTCGCTGTCTATTATTAGCATCTCCAGTGATGTTTTGTTTAATGTTTCGTACCTTTGTGCGAGCTATTTTAGGGGAGCTGCAGTCACCGTATGAGAAATGCTATTTATGACTTAAAGATGTCACCTTTATGTTTTTTTTGTTCCATTAAAAGAAATGCATTGAGCTGAAATGTAATACTTTCAGCAATTAATGCCGATTCGGGTCAAAGTGGTCAATCCTTGTCTCTAACTTAAGTTCATGTTTATTTGTGTAAGCAGGTGAGCACTCGAGAAGTCAGGGTCGTCTCATTTGCAAGAGTCACCTGGCGTCTTGCCAAAATGACAAAAACAATCAAATAAATTTACAGATATGAAGCAATATGGAAAATTGGAGCAAAGACAATCACGATACAGGAAAATAAAAAAAATACTGTACAAACTCACGTCAATAAAATACATTTCATGTCACATAAACAAAACAAACATTATTGAATGTTTCTTTTTACAAAACCACTCTGATACTGAAAGGCCGCACATCTTCCCCAAAGTCGAAAGTCTCAACATTATACGGTGGCGGCTGCTCGTGTCTTCCATGTACAATAGATATACGGGGGATACTCTTTGGTTTTTTCGGTAAAGTCACGTAGGTAAAATAAAATTAATGAAAACAACTAAATTGAATCACGACGTTTTGGAGGCAACACAATGATGTACAGAAATCCGCTGTGATGTGGTGGTAACCTCTCCACAGACCCTATCATTTGCAGCGCAACACGAAAAACCTCAGTGTGTGTGTGTGAAGAGAATTTTGCTTTGAAGAGATCCAAAAATCCGTGGAAAGATTACGGATTTTGGCATCTCCGCCCCCGTGGATTATGGGAGTTGTCACGGACTGCAAAGTTTAGGATTCGTGGGTATATTCTATGTTTTATTTTACCAGATAAGGCCCGCTGAGCTATAGAGCTCTTTTTTAAAAACGACCTGGTAATAAATGATAGCTCAACGAAGTGGCTTATCACGTGGAAATTTTATAGCAGCCAAATACTCTAAACGCTTGTTGATTCTAAATGTGGAGGGAAAAACCGGAGGACCCGGAGAAAAATCCATGCGACCACAGGGAGAGCGACATGCAAACTTCAAATATACAGCAGCAGGCGTCATGGTTGGGAATGAACCCACGGCCCCCTGCATACCAGGCGAGGTAGTTAACATCTCGCCACCACGGATAATTTGAGCGTGGATGTCAGAGTTCTTCTGGACTTCTCTTCAGCACCTCTTCCCAATAGTACAGATGGCAGCGGGTAGAGGTTCTAGTGGACGTGCGTGGCAGATAGGGCAGAAGAACCACCTCTTGCTGTCAGGACTGTGAAGCCAGGCTTATAGGACAGGCCAATCCAAATCATTAAACTATTGGCTTCTAAAAAGACGTTTAACCTCTCAGTGCAGGGGTTAATGTTTTTGATTCAGAGGTCACACTTGCCGTGTAGTATTCCAAGCTGTTGTCGCTGCTTCATGAAGCCAAAGAGCCGGTGTATTTGTTTGCGCTGCTGTTGCGTTGTTGTTTGTGCTGCGGGATTGTAAACGTTGGAAAATTCTCACGCCCCACCGCTCGACGCGGCACCTGGAGCTCGGCTCGTACGTGCGACTTGTGCGCACGTGTGCGTGACGTGACGTGTGCGTGACGTGGCCTTAATGGTAGCTCGTTAACAGCACTCCCTCGTCATTTAACACGCTTCAAGAAAGCTCGAGAAAAGTGTATCTCTCCTTCATACAGTTCCTACTGTGTACATGTACAGCCTTAAAATGATCTCTCCTTCATACGTTTACTACTGTGTACATGTACAGGCCTAAAATGTAAAATCATAACTGTCTATTTTATTTTATGTATTTTTATTTACTTCTTACCTTTCTTTGCTATTCATTGTGCACGGTTACCACTTTATTTTGTGTGTGGTTGCAATTAACTCTGCTCAGTCGGTGTTAGCTCCTGAGGGCGTGACGGAGTTCTTTTAAATTCCTGTTGCTCCACGCCCCATTCCCGTTCCGTTGTAATGTACACTGATGCCTACTTTATTGAGGGCGATATTGGCACGTTAAATAAAGATTAATTGATTGAGGTCTGTAAATCCACTGCTCGATGTGGGCCTCCCCATATCATCAGGGGTCGTAGAGGTTAATTGACCATACTTCACCATGCTGGTGATGCAGGATGGTGAAGGTGGGGAGCATAGTACAGCACAACAATCGATTTGCTGTGCTGCCCTCTGCTCCCTACAATGCTGCCTTCACACCGCGTTAACCCACTGTTGTTGATTTTTTTATTGATGGGAATTTATTGTTGTTCTTTATTTACTGTTGTTGATTATTTGTTGTTGTTGATTATTTGTTGTTGTTCTTTATTTATCACTCGACAGAGATCCTTTCCGGAGGGGTGAATATCACCGACAATCCGTTCCTGTGCCACGCTGACACCATCAAGTGGGAGGACATCCTGGAACAGAAAAACCTCAATCAGTCGGTTCTGCCATACGGCAGACCTGACTGTGAGTCCCCGGCGTCACGAGCGTTGTTCATCGCCCCGGGTTCAGCGCTGCGAGCAGACGTTGGGAATCCTCCGCTTGCGCTTGAGACGACGCGATGAGTGGTGCCGCAGTGCAGAACGCGATCTCCTGTCTCCCCGTCGATCATTGTTATAATCTCCTCGTTAGCATATTTGCTGTCTGTGCAAATTCTCATGGCGTGAGGCCATCGAGGACGCAATGTTTCAGATGCGAGTATACTCGGCAGTAGCTTCACAGGAGGGGGGGCTCTGTGTGTGTGTGTGTGTCTTTCTAAATCGAGTAATTTGCTCTGTAATGTCTTGCCACACGATTATTATCATCCCGGACGAGGCTTTATGTCCAAGCATGGAACTTGTCGCCGTAACATGTGGTGTTTGTGCATCAGTCATCGTATAAAGTACTTACAGATGATTGTGACTGATGTAAATAGAGTAAATGATGTAACTTTAATGTTCTAGAAGTGCTAGAAAAGTGAAATTTGGCACATACATTACAATTTTAATTTATATCAAGAGTATGAATGCAGCTGCATCTCGAGATGCTGCATAGTACGGTGGGACGTGAGCATCTTGCGGAAAGGAAGCGTATTTATTTATTTAATATAGAGAAAGAGAGTCAGATATAGGCAGACTTAAAGAGGAAAGACTTGGATCTGGATGTTGACAGAGGCAGGGATTTAATAGCACTTGTGGCTGGGGAAGATGTCGGCCTAGAATTATACATTGTTTTATGTCTCGTGCAAAACTTTTACAAATCTGAGATCCCCATCATCGGTGAGCCGAGTAATTCACCCCCCCCGATGCAGTGCGACGCGAAAGTTGATAGCAAGTGGCCAAAGCTTATTCTCCTCCTAGTGGAATGTATCAAGAGCTAGATCCAACAATGCAGGTGTTCCAGCAGTGCTTGATATGCTGTGCGACAGTTTCTCGGCGGGAATGAAGTCTTCATTGGGTGCGAGTTCTGTTGTTTGTTTCATGGAGCATGACACCAAACTTCTGCACGTGTGTTATTACGGCAATTCAGCACACCTCTGTAGCAGCAATAATAGCTTCATGTGAGAGGCAGGTAGCGTTCGTGGGAATAACTGGGTTATTTATTTGCGTTGACAGCTTGATGTTATGTAAGCATTGGTTTATTATTCAATTCAGCATACATCTGTAGCAGCAATAATAGCTTCATGTGAGAGGCAGGTAGCGTTCGTGGGAATAACTGGGTTATTTATTTGCGTTGACAGCTTGATGTTATGTAAGCATTGGTTTATTATTTTTTTATTGTTTCACATTTTTTTTTCAAGTACGTAACGCATGTTATGTTTCCACGACAGGCCCTCCATGCCCACAGGGTTGCAGCCACTGCTGGTCGGCCGACACGAATTACTGCCAAAAGCGTGAGTGGATTTTGCAATTATTGCCTTCTGCCAGCGGTGACATACGGATCAGACGAAGAGACACGGGCGGCAGGGGGAACGTGAACAAAAGCCCAAAGGCGTACGAAGAGGCGTGAAGAGGTGGCTTGCTCGGTTTTACCAAGCGAGACAGAAGGAGAGGCACCTCAATCGGGGACAGAACGCAGAAATGTTGTTTTTTGTACTCTCGGGACGAGAGTCTTGAGCGAGAAACATCTCTCGCTCCTCGGGGTGATGGCCAACGCACAGTGGTTGTGACGGAGCAGCAGGCAAAGGAAGGGAGAGAACACACGCACAGGGACACCCGCGGCAGAGATGGAGCGATCAGATCAGTTCGTGTGCAGGAATGAGATCGATTGGTGTGTCACTGGGCTGTGAGGGAAAGATAAACGCCAGCTAACACCGATGACTAAATTAGCTGTGCTTGCATTGAGTCTTTGATTATTCAATGTTTGTATATTTGAAACCTGATGTCGATACATTTATAACGTTTTATAATTAAGAGTGACAGTGTTTATGCCTTAGCTATGTACGTCGAACCTTCCCTATGTAACGGGAGAGGGGGCGGGATGGGCACAATAAATATGATCGAAGATGGTGTAAAGTTGTGTTGCTATTCAGGACTTGCCATATCGAAAACCGGTCAGATTTATCAAAACATGATCTAACCTTGGAGACCCAAAACCACAGTAATAAGAGCTATCTACAAAAATTCAAGCACATTTTACCCAACACCTACCCGTCAGCTTCATTATCGATAATTACTTCTGAGAACATTGCACGTCGGATTCTCCACGTTATAAGGCACACTTTATATTCATACATTATAGAGCTAAATATGAAGTGCGTCTTCTAATCCGGTCGGAGTGTGTGTGTTTGCGAGACCAGACTTGTGTAACTTTATTGGCACCGGGCACAAGTTTGGGGTGCATCTCTCCGGAGTGTCGTATAATCTTGAGAGTCCATGCGTGTGCATGGTTTTTTTTTTATCCTCCCCTGTTTGAAACTGGCGTGACGGCGCAGTGACGAGAACCATCTGTGCCAAGGAGTGCACGCTCCGCTGCTACGGAACCAACACCAATCAGTGCTGCCACAAGCACTGCGCTAGCGGCTGCACGGGGCCGCGTGACACCGACTGCCTGGTACGACCCCTTACCCTCGTACCTTTGCTCCCAACATTGATACCAAAGCCTGACTTGACTCACAGCCAGGACTGCCCAGAGCTTCCCGGAGGTCCGGGGCTGGAGGCCCCGAAGCACAACGCCACGTCGAGTCCCCTTATTCATTTGCGAGACAAATACAGGCCTATTGTGAGGCTCTCTTTTGTGTGAGGCCTGGAGAACATTACCTTTTGTCCCCGCGACCCCTACTCTGGATGGCCCTGCTGATATCTCATCAAACCAAGTCCTGAATGTACTCAGTCCAAAACGTTATCGATACCGCAAGACTCAGCTTGCTCATTTTTCTGATCCCTGACCTTAAATCTGAACCTTGCTGCATGGTTGGTTACATATACGTTGCAAAAGAAATTCAACATACATACATATGCTGAGCTCACACCAGAACCATATATGAAAACTGTTGTTTGGTGAACATTCACTCCAATGTTACTTCTTTATCCTATTTTTCTGTTGTTAAATTATCAGCAACTTTGTCATGAAATGCAAATTAGAAATTCATACACTGCATGGCTTTCCAAACCCTGTTGTGTGGGCCCACAAACTCATTAAATTCGGCCTGTAGCATCTCTAATTTAACATTAAATGCAGCCTGCTGTGGCTCGAGATTAAATTAATAAAATTAATTATTTCACAGGAATATTTATCACCTCTCTGCCTCGCGCATCTAACAATATCTCGAATATCTTTTCTGATACATATTCTATCTCTCTCATATTCTGAGTAAATATTACTCACAATTCTTTCACGAACGCAGGCGATCCTCGACGTACATCGATCCACACTGACGACAGGTCACCAATTCCCACCCACGTTGTTACTCGTAGCGATCGGCCCGCACGAACGGCACAAGACCGACTGGCGCCAGTGCTGCTCAGTCAGTCTACCTCCCGAAGCGGCGCTCCGGCCCTCTGCCTCTGTGCATTCTGGGTGATTCTGAAGGATTTTTTATTCATATAAACCTTAAAAATGGCCGATAAAAGGAAAGGTCGGTAGTCTAGTGATGGTGTTGATAAGAAAGGTAGCAGAAAGGCCATCGCTGTATTCAGTCCAAATAATCCAGGAATTATGAAAAATCAAGGTAGGAAGTTTCAAAAATATGATTATTTTACTTTATATATGATTGGTAGTTGATTAAATATTTTATTTGTAGTCATATCTATAAAAAGTTGCATATGGGACCCTTGGTCAGGAACATAACCCCCTATTATATAATTGTATCTCTGGGAAATTTGGTCTCGACTTATGGCACCTTTTCTAGGAATGTAACCTGACGTAGGCCCGAGCACCGCCCATACTTGTATCTCTTATCTCACGCTCATATCTCTGTTCTGAATATATCTTCTATCCACTGCCTACGTAGTTCATCTGAATATATCTCATACCAATAGCTCCTAGTTCAATATTTGTATGCTCATGGCCTGTATCTTCCTGCATGTTTGTGAGTCCGGCATGCTCTTAATCCTGGCCTTTATATATCACCGTCCATCTGTCTGTTCATTCATTCATCCATTGATTAATTCATCTTTCCATTAATTATTCCATCCATACATACATTCATCCATCTACCCACAAACCATCCTCCTGTGTTCCCTCCGCCTTCGCTTATCTCCTCCGTTCCTTTTCGCCGGCCAGGCCTGCAAGACGTTCAACGACACGGGCGTGTGTGTGATGCACTGCCCACCCACGCACATCTACAACCGCGACACGTATCTGCAGGAGCCCAACCCGGACGTCAAGTACAGCCATGGGGCCATCTGCGTCAAGCGCTGCCCTCGTGAGTGGCCGTGCGTGCGGGGGAACGTGCGTGAGCCCCAGCCGGGTGCTCATGTGCCCCCCCCCCATCCCTGTGTCTGTGTCACATACACACGTGTGTGTGTGTGTTTGTAGTGCGGAGAGGTGGCGCCGTGGTTAGCACGCTGCACTATAAACCCAGCGAACCGAGCTTGATTCCCGCTCATGGCTAACACCAGTGACGATTATCTGAACCAGTCCTGGGTCTCCCCGAGGTCTACTCAGTCTCAAATGAGTACCAGGTGCGATGTGTAAACATCGCCACTGGGGAGACAAATGCGTCGGGTGTGGTACTGGCCACCCACCTCCTCGTGTACCGTTCCGGCCTTCATAGGTGCTCGCTAACAGCATTTGCCCCAAAAGGATTTTAAGGCTATACGGGGGATCTTTATCTTTGTTCGTAGTGCAGTGGTTCAAGGGATGGGCTACGAACCTGGCTACCTCGGTTCGACACTTGGCCACGGCTAACATCAGTAATGTATATCTGGACTGGTTCTGGGCCTCTCCTAGGTCGGTTCAGCCTTAAATGAGTACCTGGTATGGTGTGGAAACATCAGCACTGGGGAGATAAAGGCAGGCGGGCGGGCGTGGAGCTGTGTGTTCAATTTCTGTGCCACCTCCCCTAGGTCAACTCGGCCTTAAATAAGTACCTAATGTGGGTGCTCTGTGATATCCGTTTCTGTGGGATGTTCTCCAACATGAAGGTTTACAGTGCTGTGTGTGTAAGAGATGTGACTTCATTATTCGTGCCAGGATATGATGCCGTTCACGCGCTTGGGCTAGAATCCGGCAAAAGTATCTTGTGCAGCGTGTTATTTGTGTCTTTATCATATCACCTATCCACAATGGCCCATCCGCAAGCTTGTGTACAAACAAAAAAGCTATTGTAAAATGTTTGTATGCATGTTGAACTTCTTTCGCACCATACGTAGCCAACCACGCCAATTTGGAGGTGCGGGACAGATGGCAAGATGCCTGGATAGATTGTAGAACTGGAGTTGGATGCATTATTTTTTGTATAGAATGTACATTAAGGTTTTGATAATTGTTTGCTAATGTACAATTATGTGAAGCCTTGTTTTGTAAATTATTGAAATATTAAAATAATCATAATTTTATAAAGTGCCTTTCATCGTGAAATATTTCAAAGCACTACATTAAATCCAACAGAAATACAGTAAAAGCTGATAAGAACAAGACTAACAACTCCCGATATTGCCACCATCCCTGCGGCTGGGCATATCCTGTAATTACTCATGATGACACATAAGGGTTCATCATTCCCCATCTTCTTGTGACAGAATTCAAATTTGAACAAGAGTTTTTGAAACCTCAAACTAAACACGCAGTAAAGTTGCGGAATAAACGGCAAAAGCCACTGCCATCTCCCCCCATCCCACCCCCCTGACTTCTTCCATGCGCAGAAAACTTCCTCATCGACGAGAATTCGTGCGCGCGTTCCTGCCCCCACGAGAAGATGGAGGTGGAGGAGAATGGCGTCAAAATGTGCAAGGCTTGCTCCGAGAAGCAAGGCTGCCCCAAAGGTTAGCGGTGCCCTCCACCGTCATCTTCCTGATGTGCCCCCCTTTTGAGAATCTGTGACTCCCCACGTTCAAGTTGAGGTTAATTTGTGTGTCTAGGGGAGAACTCAAGGGACCAGGATGAGTCTCGTTTGCAAGAGCCACCAGGGTCACCAAACATGGCAAAAGCAATCAAATGAAATAATTTGCAGCGACGGAGCAAACGGGAATCTGAGCGAGTGCTACCTTATGGGAGTGAAACGATTTCTTCCTCATCGACGGCAACTCGTGTTTGGAGCTCGTGATGCGTGTGTTGAATCATGCATGCAAGAAATTTGATATTTTTGATTCACGCAAATGTAATGCAAATGTTTCCTTGAGGCTAAACGGTCAGAAAAGGCGAGACGGGACAGGACAAACGAGAGAGGGTGAATTACACGGCATTGCAGACCAGACAGTACAAAACATAAACGTGACATGAGTCTATTCTTGGCCCCCAATATTCTGGTGCTAAATCATTGTATTTATTTATATGCACTATTTCGTGTTGTCGCTTGGTTAGCTAAGTCAACTGAGTTTATTTAAAATTAGATCAGGAAAAAAATTAGGTCAGAGTTGTCAATTTATTTCCTGAACTCCATTTGTCACTCCTAACCACAATGCACCTTTACATTGTTTGCCATTTTTGAGATTTGTGCATTGTGTAATGACATGATTTGGAATGGAGGGGATATATTTGTTTATAAATATGAAAACCTGTACTCTGGGGGTGAGCGAGGAATGGGCTTTGAGTTCTGCTTGGATCGTGAATGTTTCTGTTGACGTTGGGCTATTTCTGATGGACGGACGGACCGGCAGGCTTGCATGAGAGCCCAAATTCCCCACGTGGGTTGAGGTGACGCGTGAAAAGATTGTCCGCCGAGTGCTGACACTGCGTGTGTGTTGGCGCGTGTGCGTGCATGCGCGTGGTGTTTGTGCGCGTGTGTGTGTGTGCGTGCGTGCATGTGCGTGTGTGCGTGCGTGTGTGTGCGTGCGTGTGTGCGTGTGCATGTGTGTGTGCGTGTGTGTATGCTCGTGTGCGTGCATGTGTGTGTGTGCGTGCGCGCGCGTGTGTGTGCGTGTGTGTGCGTGCGTGCGCTTGTCCCTGTGTGCTTTAGTCTGCCACGGCATTGGCTCGGGGAATCTGAAGGACGCGAAATCGGTCAGCTCGTTAAACGTGGACACGTTCAGCGAGTGCACGACCATCAACGGCAACCTCGTCTTTCTCGAGTCGGGTCTAGACAGGTGGGGTGCCTGCTCCATTATTTGCACGTGACTTAAATTGCCTCATGTCATCATCAACCATGGTCATTCCACTGCTGGATGAAGGCCAACCCAACTCGTCGCCATCTCTCACGATCCCACTTGACAGCTGCACCCAAGCTGATTTCATTGCTCGTCTCTTCGGTTGACATCCTGTCGGACGTGACCCATCCCGTCTTCTTGACTGCTGGTCATCATCCCTGCTAGCAACGTGTACTGCTCAAGCCCAATTGCTTTGTATTTCCGCATGTTTTAATGAGTGACAGTTAATAATGACAGTATTAATAGTAACCAAGGTCAACTATGCGCCGCTATGTTGCCACGAACGCGGCTGGAGACAAGGTCACCGCGAATGCCGTCTGAGTCACTGAGCGTCGACGATAAAACCGCCCCAGGGCGGATAAGCGGAGAGTGGCCGTACGTCCAGACGGCGTGGAGGATGACAACTCCGTGGGTCTCGAGAGATGAGCAATGGAGCCTTGACAGGGCCCTTGATTTTCCTTTATCAAGGCTGCCCCTGTTATCATCATGGCAAAAGCTGACCCTGTCACTCTCGCATACTCATTTGACAGGATTCCCGAAAGCAAAGTGGGTTCCGGTGTACCGTTAACTATTTGCCCAATTGTACGTGTGTACGCTTCTGTGATAATTTTCTTTAGAATAGGGAGTGTTAGCGTAATGGTTGTCGCACTGTGCGACAAACCCGTGTCCTGGGCTTGAATTCCACCCGTGGCAAATGTCTAAACTGTTCCTGGATCTTCCCTAAGTCTACTCATCCTTAAATGAGTACCTGGTGCAGTGTGTAGTCATCAGCACTGGGGAGACAAAGGTGGTCAGGCAAGGTGCTGTCCACACCACCATCTTGTCTGCTGTGCCAGCCTACACAGGTGTTCGCTAACAGCGCTTGCCCGAATAAGTCTGTGCAGGCTATACAGGGGAATCCTTGTCGTGTGTGTGTGTATGTGTGTGTGTATGTGTGTGTAGGGGAGCGGTAGTGTAGTGGTTAGCGCGGTGTGCTGCGAACCCGGCGACCCGAGTTCGCTTCCCACTGACGGTCAACACCAGTGACGATTATCTGAACCGGTCCTGGGCCTCCCCTAGGTCGATTCAGCCTCAAATGAGTACCTGGGGTGGTGTGTAAACATCGCCACTGGAGAGACAAAGGTGGTCGGGCGTGGTGCTGGCCACCCACCCCCTCGTGTACCGTTCCAGCCTTCATAGGTGCTCCTAACAGCACTTGCCCCTACAGTCTATTAAGGCTATACGGGGGATCTTTGTCTTTGTGTGTAGGGTAGTCAGTTTGCGTCAGTGTATATGTTGCTTTTTATGTTTTTACAGTGACCTACTTGCTCATCCCGAAAAGATGAAGGTGTTCAGATCTGTGCGGGAGATCACAGGTAGCTATTTAGAACAAAACTATCATACTGCACACACACACACAGCTGCTGTGCACCACTCAGTGATGGTGACATCCCTATGGCACCTGTGCCACGCTAGTGAGAGCTCACTAGCGAGAGGTGACACGTCAGAATTGGATATTGTGGTTCATTAGTGCAGCGTGCGTGGACGGATGCACAGGACACGTTACAATCTAACGCCTTACGTATCCACGTAGGAAGAGTTAAGCTAGTCACGATGAATCACCAGTGCTCAGGTGTATTCTCAGGATTCTCTGAATTCAGTGGAAATTCCTAATCTTGAGAGAAGCAGATGAAGGCTCCATAACGAGATACATTCCACGGGGCTGCAGGCAAGGTGTTCACGTTTCCATAGAGGGTAGATATTTACTGAATTTTTCGCTAAAGAGTGTTGGGCCTTGGGTCAACACGCGTTTGAATTGCGTCGTTCAGTAAGAGGCACGCTGGAGCCTCATGGCCCTGCACTCTGACACTGCTATCAACTCATACTCGAAGCACATTTGGCAATAGCGATGTTGTACAAGGAGACACGAGAAATTGGTATCCTGGCAGAGACTTCTCGGTCGGAGTCAACACGGGGAACCCAGAGGCTTTGAGTCGCTCTGAGATGCCGTGGCGTTTGAGTAAATGATAAGTGCTAACGTTATTTTTAGAGGACCCAACGTTATATTTAGTTTGTCGTCCTTCCCCCGCACCTCCGATTAGCGTGGTTGGCTACGTACGGTGTGAAAGGAGTTCAGCATACGTACAGATGCATACACTCGCACATACGTGATGTACGAGCGTGCGCCTGCCCGCCGCGCGATGCGACGCCTCCCCTCGTCTTGCCGACAGGGTACTTGCACATTGAGGCCTGGCTGCCAAACATGACCGACCTGAGCGTGTTCGAGAACCTCGAGATCGTGCGAGGGAGGAACATCCGCAGGTGAGACACGCGGCACCTCCGCTTTATTACCACGCCACGTGTGAGGTCGGCCACGGCTTGCACCGGTGGCGAGCGATAGCCACTGGCGTCCCCCGGCCCCCCCCCCCCCCTCGTCCTTCACCTTCAGTTAGCACGGTTGGCTACGTAAGGTGCGAAAGAAGTTCAACATACGTACATGCACCAACCCGCATTGAGCACCATGTAAGTCCCGAGGGTGCCATCTGGACATTATATAAGCCCAAACTGTATTGTCTTCAAATTGCGATTTTTCCATGAAGACCCTCCGCCAGCCGATATCGCCAAATAAATTAAATTGTCGCATGGTGTACAAGTGTTTAACAATGCGCTGATTCGTATTATTGTTTTGGGTCACCGGTGAGTTGGAGAGGATTTCTCATTGGCGAATTAAACACTTGTACACCTCATGGCTGTTTAATCTCCTCGGCAGCGTTGGATGGCGAAGGGTCTTCATGATGCAAAATTGGCCATATCACCAACGTGACCGACACCAAAAATCCATCGCCAGTCATGGTATCGGCTGCGAAAACCTAATTGTTAACCTATGCATTCAAATACGCGCTAAGTGTATCCTGAAAGTTGACTTGTGCGTGCCCCCCTGCCCCCGCCCCCACCCCGCCCCCCACCGTCCCCGGTGTCCAGCGTTGGGTACTCGGTGCTGGTGCGGAACCTGCCTCACCTCGAGGTGCTGGGGTTGAGGGCGTTGAGCGAGGTGACGGAAGGCAGTGTGCTGGCGCAGAACGTGCCGCGCCTCTGCTACGTCCTCACCGTCAACTGGACGCGGCTGCTGCGCTCGCCGCGCCAGAAGGCCGACCTGGAGGGCGTGCCCTCCAGTAGCGTCTGTGGTGAGCGGCCGGCACGCACGAGCGCGGCGGTCAAGAGGGGAATAGCGGCAAAGTATGGGAGCGGGTAAAGGGGGGGGGGGGTGGCATGAAGGTGGGGGGCCAGGGAGAGGTGAGCGAAGAGGAAGAGCATTGGGGAAGGAACGGAGGGGAAGCCGTTGTGATCCATCTGACCCACCCGGTCCCTTGTGGGTGTTTGTTTTTGTCAGCGTGCGCATTTGTATGCTTGAGTGTGTGTGTGGAGCGTTAGTGTAGCGGTTAGTGCGCTGCGCTATAAACCCGGTGACCCGAGTTCAATTCCCACGCACGACCAACACCTGTGATGATTATCTGAACTGGTCCTCAGCCTCCCCTAGGTCCCCTCAGCCTTAATTGAGTACCTGGTGTGATGTATAAACATCTCCACCCCTTCATGTGCCATGCCGGCCTTCACAGGCACTCACTAACAGCAATATGGGTGATCTTTGCCTTTGTTTTTATGTGTGCAGGGAGCGGGGTAGGGTAGCAGTGAGCGCTCTGCGCTACGAGCCCAACGACCCGAGTTAGATTCCCGCTGATGGCAGTCCTGGGCCTCCCCTAGGTCAACTTGGCCTCAGTACCTGGTGCCAAATGTTTAAACATCACCACTCGGGAAACAAAGGCAACCGGGCCTGTTGCTGGTCACCCACCCCCTCGTTTGCCACGTCCACCTTTATAGGTGCCCACCAGGGGCACTTGTTCCAACAGTCGGCATGGCTATACGTGTGCGGTGTTTGCTTGCCGCGCAGGCTCCGAGGCCTGTCACCCTCTGTGCTCCTCGGACGGCTGCTGGGGCCCCGGGCCAGAGCAGTGCATGCAGTGCAAGCTCTTCAAGCGTGGCCGCACCTGCGTCGAATCCTGCAACCAGAACGACGGGTAAGGACGTTTGTTGCTACCAATTAGCTGCCCTAACCCCTACACCAGGGGGTGGGCGAACTTTTTCCCTTACCAATGGCCGAATGTCACTTTTCAAAGACCTTTGGCAGGTGGCCGCATGATAACGCACGCCTTCACGTTGTCAACTGATCGCGCAAGAAATATAATTCGGGCTCAAACTTTTCGCCACGCGAATGCGATGCCTGCGCCTGCTTGGCTGTCACCCACAAGGTGATGAAGTCGGCTCGCAGTTCTGAAGGGACGCGCGACTCAGGGGTTTGCAGTGACCGATGAATATCGTTCGCAGGCCGCTTCCAAGTGGTAGGCCTGGTATGGCCATGTGCCCTGCCTTAAAAAAAAACTGTCAGTCACAATTTACCAATATATAGTCATGGTACCACCTTTATCACACCCGTCACTGTGTACACAACGACTCCCTGCCATGGTGAATTGCTACAGTAGGCGTCACAATCTGATTTAAGAATGTACCGTCTGTTTTTTCATTAGCCTAAGGGGTACATACAGTGAGGGGAAAAAAGTATTTGATCCCCTGCTGATTTTGTACGTTTGCCCACTGACAAAGAAATGATCAGTCTATAATTTTAATGGTAGGTTTATTTGAAAAGTGAGAGACAGAATAACAACAACAAAAAATCCATTTGCATTTTAATGAGGGAAATAAGTATTTGACCCCCTCTCAATCAGAAAGATGTCTGGCTCCCAGGTGTCCTTTATACAGGTAACGAGCTGAGATTAGGAGCACACTCTTAAAGGGAGTGCTCCTAATCTCAGCTTGTTACCTGTATAAAAGACACCTGTCCACAGAAGCAATAAATCAGATTCCAAACTCTCCACCATGGCCAAGACCAAAGAGCTCTCCAAGGATGTCAGGGACAAGATTGTAGACCTACACAAGGCTGGAATGGGCTACAAGACCATTGCCAAGCAGCTTGGTGAGATGGTGACAACAGTTGGTGCGATTATTCGCAAGTGGAAGAAACACAAAAAGAACTCTCAATCTCCCTGGGCCTGGGGCTCTATGCAAGATCTCACCTCGTGGAGTTGCAATGATCATGAGAACGGTGAGGAATCAGCCCAGAACTACACGGGAGGATCTTGTCAATGATCTCAAGGCAGCTGGGACCATAGTCACCAAGAAAACAATTGGTAACACACTTCGCCGTGAAGGACTGAAATCCTGCAGCATCCGCAAGGGCCTCCTGCTCAAGAAAGCACATATACATGCCCGTCTGAAGTTTGCCAATGCACATATGAATGATTCAGAGGACAACTGGGTGAAAGTGTTGTGGTCAGATGAGGCAAAAATGGAGCTCTTTGGCATCAACTCAACTCGCCGTGTTTGGAGGAGGAGGAATGCTGCCTATGACCCCAAGAACACCATCCTCACTGTCAAACATGGAGGTGGAAACATTATGCTTTGGGGGTATTTTTCTGCGAAGGGGACATGACAACTTCACCGCATCAAAGGGACGATGGACGGGGCCATGTACCGTCAAATCTTGGGTGAGAAACTCCTTCCCTCGGCCAGGGCATTGAAAATGGGTCGTGGATGGGTATTCCAGCATGACAATGACCCAACACACACGGCCAAGGCAACAAACGAGTGGCTCAAGAAGTACATTAAGGTCCTGGAGTGGCCTAGCCAGTCTCCAGACCTTAATCCCATAGAAAATCTGTGGAGGGAGCTGAAGGTTCGAGTTGCCAAACGTCAGCCTCGAAACCTTAATGACTTGGAGAAGATCTGCAAAGAGGAGTGGGACAAAATCCCTCCTGAGATGTGTGAAAACCTGGTGGCCAATTACAAGAAACGTCTGACCTCTGTGATTGCCAACAAGGGTTTTGCCACCAAGTACTGTCATGTTTTGCAGAGGGGTAAAATACTTATTTCCCTCATTAAAATGCAAATCAATTTATAACATTTTTGACATGCGTTTTTCTGGATTTTCTTGTTGTTATTCTGTCTCTCACTGTTCAAATAAACCTACCATTAAAATTAGACTGATCATTTCTTTGTCAGTGGGCAAACGTACAAAATCAGCAGGGGATCAAATACTTTTTTCCCTCACTGTATACAATACATTTGCATTTCTTATCTGCTAATAAATAATCGAATCCTGAGCTTTCAATTAAGTGCATGTATCATGAGCCTAAGAAATTATATAAATGGGGTGGTTTTATGGTCATTGGCTTAAGTTGGATATGGTTGCAAAGTTTAAAGGTCGCTCGTTCAACACTGGGGTTGAGTGGCTTACGAAGGTGATGTTGGTAGCGATGGCAATGTAAATAGTGAGGATGACGATTGGACCGATGGTGGTGATGCTCATCACAATAGTGATAATGGGTACTATTATTCCGTTTGATTACTCACAAAAGTCTCACTGAGTCTCGTACTTCTTTTTCAGAAGGGGCCCATCCAAGTTTTTCCGTAGTAGGAGGCGATGATTGCTCTGTATATTCCAATTGAGTAATTGTAACATATATACAATAAAGTAGTGGATGTGTGAAACATTTGCTGTTTTTGCAGGGAGGTGCGTGAATTCATCAATGGGACGCTCTGCACGCCCTGCCACTCCGAATGCCTGCCCACCAACGGGACGCTTTCCTGCAAGGGTCCGGTAAGGACAATCATTACGATTGTCTCCGAGGCGGTTTTGGGGCGGTCGGCAAATATGAACCTTTAGCTGTCATCATTCGCATTTGCTCTACCTCACCGCGAATAGAGTGGTGCTTTCCTGTGTGTGCTACACTCTTTAATAGTTGGTGTAAACTCCACTCCGTGTCACCTGTTGATAAACACACACACACACGGCCTTCTCAAAACACACTTGCATTAGACGTTGGGTGTTCTCCATTGGCCTGGCTTAGCAAGGGCTTGTTTCCTCCCTTTGTGTTGACAGCCAGCCATCCATACACTTGAGCGACCTGTCCTGCTGAAGCTCACTTTGCTTTTCTTAGCAGTAAATATGAGAGCTTTAATCCACGTGTTTGTCTCCCATGTGTTCAGATGACTGAATATATTCTGACATTTGCAGATAAAACTTTCGTGACTGCAGGAATTAATATTCTATGGTTCTTTCGGTAAAGTCACGTAGATAGAAAAAATAACAACAATAAAATAATAAAAATGAAAATAAAGTGAATAAAAAATAATTAAAACATCGCGACGTTTCGATCGCAACACCAGCAATCGTCATCAGGAGAAAAAAGAGGGGAAAGCTGCTGAGGCAAGCTGTTTATAAAGGTTTAGAGATGGGCGGGGCAGCTAATGTTAATTTCGGAGAGGTCTCCGACACCGGCAGTAGGTCTACACCAATCAAAGAGCTATTTATAAAGGTTTAGAGATGGGCGGGGCAGCTTATGTTAATGTAGGAGAGGTCTCCGACACCGGCAGTAGGTCTACACCAATCAAAGAGCTGTTTATAAAGGTTTAGAGATGGGCGGGGCAGCTTATGTTAATGTGGGAGAGGTCTCCGACACCGGCAGTAGGTCTACACCAATCAAAGAGCTGTTTATAAAGGTTTAGAGATGGGCGGGGCAGCTTATGTTAATGTAGGAGAGGTCTCCGACACCGGCAGTAGGTCTACACCAATCAAAGAGCTGTTATAAAGGTTTAGAGATGGGCGGGGCAGCTTATGTTAATGTAGGAGAGGTCTCCGACACCGGCAGTAGGTCTACACCAATCAAAGAGCTGTTTATAAAGGTTTAGAGATGGGCGGGGCAGCTTATGTTAATGTAGGAGATGTCTCCGACACCGGCAGTAGGTCTACACCAATCAAAGCATTGCACCTCGCTCCACACACCCACACTGCTAACGGTGTGGGTTTTGCCTTCTGCAGAGTGGTTGTTAGTAGTTGCTAGTCATGGGCAGTGCCAGTGGCTTTTTGGATCAGAACCTGGCTCATTTGAAGGTCAACTCAGCCTTAAACGAATACAGTAACTTGGCATGGTGTGTTATGAGCACTTTTGGGACAAAGACAGTCAGTTGTGGGACTGGATACAATGCCCCTTGTGTGTCATTTAATGGGCACTTGCTAACAGCATTTCCCTCTACCAGACGAGGGATAAACAGGAGAGCTTTTGTGTTCTTGCGTGCCTCTGTTTTTTGTATGTCAATGTTGACCTGGGTTAGATTCTCAGCCATTATTAACATTATCAGTGGCTGTCTTACTTGACCCTGTTCAGGGTCTTACCTAGCTCAACTCACCCTTAAATGAGCTGTTTCCTTGTGTGCGTGGGGTTTTGTAGAGAGGGGGAGCAAGAGGGTGTGGTGGTTAGCATACTGCGTGATGAACCTGGCGACTAGAGTTTAATCTTTCGATTTAAAGAGTTTAATCCCCAGCGAAGGGTAACATCACCGGCAATCGGTATTAGAACTTTCCCCGTGCCACCCCGAGATCGATTCACCCTTAAACGAGTAGCTGGCGCAATGTGTAACAATAATCACTGGGGAGACAAAGGCACACCAGTCGTCCTGGTCACACCATCTCGTTGTGTGCCGTGCCAGCCATAATAGGCGCTCGCTAACAGCACTTGAACTGCAACGGTCTACTTGGGCCTTACGTGGGCTGCGTCTGTCTTTGCGCGTGCGCCTTCGATGACGGGCCGCAGACGTCCGACATGTGCACGCGCTGCCGCCACTTCAAGGACGGCCCCTACTGCGTGGACAAGTGTCCCTTGGGTCAGAACACGGAGCACGGAGCTCTCATCTTCAAGTTCCCCGACGCCCACAATGCCTGCATGCCATGCCACGCCAACTGCACGCACGGGTGAGCGGCAGCACGGCGCCCACGTGCGCGTGCAGGCCAGCGATGGGCAGGATCTAAATTACGTGTAATTAAAGCTCGTCCTTTCATGGCATATTCACTGCGGTGTTTCAATTTCAAAATGCTGAGGGTGAGGGACGTTGCGTGAAATGCTCGTGGACATGCTGCGTAGATGCCGCTAAATCGGATTGAGGATGTCGTTTAAAACCACGTTTTCCTCATCGTGGTTTTTGTTTTAGTTTTATCTTAAGAAAATATGTGCTCGTAATTATTCGCTGTCAGACAATTTTTTGTTTATATGCTGGCTTTGTTGATTGTGTTGCATTGTTTCCCTAAACGCTGTAGAAATACTGAGCAAAACTCAGTTTCACTCGTGGGATTTTTTTTTCCGCAAACAACAACATAAATACAACAAACATTCTTCTTTCACAAAGTATGAATCATTATGCCTGAGCGCAGAAAATCTCACGGTTCTTCAGATTTACTAGATGGGGCATTTTCGGTGGAGAAATTATTAGTCCAGTTTTTCTCAAGCATGCCTTGCCATGCCCAGAATTTCCTTTTGAGGCAAGTCAAACTGAAAACTTTAAAACTATTTTTTATTTTATCAGGTAAGGCCCACTGAGCTATATCTCTCTCTTTCAGAAACGATCTGGCCACAAATGAAAGCTCAATGAAGCGGCTTATCACGTGGAAAGTTATAACAGCCAAATACTCTAAACGCACGTTAATTCTCAAGTTATCCTCCCCTCAGTAAGGCTCTTTGGCGGAAGTGCCACACCGTTGGGAGGTTTCGCTGAACGACGCACGGTGCACCGATGCACGCGTGCGTCACCGGTGCGACACGCTCGCTGTGGCTCAGAGCTACGCTAAGTTTATATCATTGATGCCGACCACCCGGCATATGTGAACGTGCCACAGTTTGAAATTCCCGGCCGACACACGGTCTAATTCCGGCTGTTAAACCTTCTTCCTCCGACGCGGACGCTGACACCCAGGTGCGATGGGCCACTCTTGGAAGACTGCAACGGAATTCCGACCCGTCAAAATAGGTACCGTAACCACTGTCTTTTGCCTTTGTGTGCGTGCATGTGTGCGTGTGTGCGGCATCTTTTTAAATGCGGGGTTCAGGTGCAACGGGCCTTTGCCTGTCGACTGCGTTTTTCCATGGAGCGAAAGTTCAAGCAGCCCAACTAGGTAAACACATCTCCTGTCTCATCAATGTTCCACGTGTCCACTTCATTACCGATTTATTTTTGTTGCTCTTTGTACCGCCAATTTTCAGCTTTCAGTCAAAGTAACTTTGTTACAGCGTGATGCACAATCCAGCGAGTTGGCAGCTGATTTTTCCGAAGTTGGGCTGGGCCCAGTGCCGGATTAAGCTAGTGCGGGGCCTGTAGCATATGGTATAAAGGGACCCTCAATAAAAAACACACGTAAATATTAAAACACAACTTTTTTACTTGCATTGTAGAGTAATTGTATTTTTTTATTTGCTATACTACCAGATAATACGACAAATCGCTAACCTTAAACACCAAAGTATAGTACTGTACTATAGTATAGAGTAAGTGCAAAATCACTGAACCGGAATTGATAGCTTGAAAGCATCTAGTGCGGGGCCCTTGAAAGTGCGGGGCCCGTAGCATATGCTACTTTTGCTACTGGGATAATCCGGCACTGGCCGGACCTCTGTGGGGATGACGCGTGACCGCCCGCCCGCTCGTGTTTTTTTACGCTGTGCAGCAGCAAGACGCCCGTGGTGCTGGCGGCCGTGGTGGGGAGCCTCTGTATGGTGGTGGTTCTCACTCTGGGCGTTTTGCTCTACAAGCGCTCCAGCAACCAGAAGCGCAAGAAAACGCTGCGGCGATACGCGATCGAGCGAGAGGTAGCGTGCCTGTCGCAGGTTCATAGTCACTCGCCGCTGCTGTTATCGTTGTCGCCATCATCATCATCGTCGTCGTCATTATTATCATCTTGTCAACAACCGCTATCAGTCTTAGCAGCAGTGTGATTAGCACGGTTGGTTACATACGGTGCGAAAGAAGTTCAACATATGTAAGGATGTTAGACATCCTTGGGTAGCGTCTTTGTAACATGGATATCGTAAACACCATAACCGCCACGAGGGGGCGCTACTGCATAAGGAGAGCTGTGACGTGGCCTGCTCGATGGTGGTTGGTTGGAAGGTTTGAAAGGGAGAAGACAGAGATATTTGAAAAAGGCAAGGGGGTCCATTCAGGCTGTTAGAAGGGGATTAGAGGGATTGGTTAAAAGGAAGGGGATGGGTGGAGATTGGAGAAGGGGAGGAAGAAGAGGATACAAGGGAAGGGTGAGAGGGAGGGGAGGGCTCCCAAGAGATGGTAATGGGCACTCGACGTCGTTGTTCAGGACAGACTTTAGCCTTGGGCGCCACGGTGGCTCAGAGATGTTGACTACCTCGCCTGGTGTGCAGCAGGCCATGGGTTCGATCCCAACCCTGACGCCTGTTGTGTATTTGGAGTTTGCATGTCGCTCTTCCCGTGGTCGCGTGGATTTTTCTCAGGGTCCTCCGGTTATTCCCTCCACATTTAGAAGCATGCATTTAGAGTATTTGACTGCCATAAATTTCCACGTGATAAGCTACTTCGTTGAGCTGTCGATTGTGGCCAAGTCACGTATGAAAAAGAGCTATACAGCTCAGTGGGCCTTAATTGGGAAAGAAAAAACTGGTTTATAGTTTATCGTGTCACCATCATCACATCTGTTTTGTAATTCTCTGCATTTTCAATGTGACCATCATAATCATCATGATCAACATTGCAATCTATAGAAAATGCAATGCGTTTAAAAACCCACAACAGAACACAAAGGAGCTACTGCAATTTCAACTTACGCGCACGCGCGCAATAAACAGAAGGGATTCGTGCGTAACGTAGCTCTGCCGCCAACGGACACGCTGCCACCGTCGCTCTGCTGTTCCGCTCACCCGCGGTGTCCCCCCGCAGCTGGAGCCGCTCACGCCGAGCGGCATGACCCCAAACCAGGCGCAGCTGCACATCCTCAAGGAGACGGAGCTCCGGCGTGGAAAGGTGCTCGGCTCGGGCGCCTTTGGCACCGTCTACAAGGTGTGTGCAGTACGGCGCCATCGCTCAGTCTCTGAAGCGGTTGCTCGCTCGCTCACTCTCGCCAGCTCACTCTCGCTCACTCTCGCCAGCTCACTCTCGCTCACTCTCACCAGCTCACTCTCGCCAGGTCACTCCCGCCAGCTCACTCTCGCCAGCTCACTCTCGCCAGCTCACTCTCGCTCACTCTCGCCAGGTCACTCTCGCTCATTCTCGCCAGCTCACTCTCGCCAGGTCACTCTCGCTCACTCTCGCCAGGTCACTCTCACCAGGTCACTCTCGCCAGGTCACTCCCGCCAGCTCACTCTCGCCAGCTCACTCTCGCTCACTCTCGCCAGGTCACTCTCGCCAGCTCACTCTCGCCAGGTCACTCTCGCCAGGTCACTCTCGCCAGGTCACTCCCGCCAGCTCACTCTCGCCAGCTCACTTTCGCCAGGTCACTCTCGCCAGCTCACTCTCGCCAGCTCACTCTCGCCAGCTCACTCTCGCCAGCTCACTCTCGCCAGCTCACTCTCGCCAGCTCGCTCACTTTCGCCAGCTCACTCTCGCCAGCTCACTCTCGCCAGGTCACTCCCGCCAGGTCACTCTCGCCAGCTCACTCTCGCCAGCTCACTCTCGCCAGCTCACTCTCGCCAGGTCACTCTCGCCAGCTCACTCTCGCCAGGTCACTCTCGCCAGCTCACTCTCGCCAGGTCACTCTCGCCAGCTCACTCTCGCCAGCTCACTCTCGCCAGCTCACTCCCGCCAGCTCACTCTCGCCAGCTCACTCTCGCCAGGTCACTCTCGCCAGCTCACTCTCGCCAGCTCACTCTCGCCAGGTCACTCTCGCCAGGTCACTCCCGCCAGCTCACTCTCGCCAGCTCACTCTCGCCAGCTCACTCTCGCCAGCTCACTCTCGCCAGCTCACTCTCGCCAGCTCACTCTCGCTCACTCTCGCCAGCTCACTCTCGCCAGCTCACTCTCGCCAGCTCACTCTCGCCAGCTCACTCTCGCCAGGTCACTCTCGCCAGCTCACTCTCGCCAGCTCACTCTCGCCAGCTCACTCTCGCCAGGTCACTCTCGCCAGCTCACTCTCGCCAGCTCACTCTCGCCAGCTCACTCTCGCCAGCTCACTCTCGCCAGCTCACTCTCACCAGGTCACTCTCGCCAGCTCACTCTCACCAGCTCACTCTCGCCAGGTCACTCTCGCTCACTCTCGCCAGCTCCCTCTGCCAGCTCACTCTCGCCAGGTCACTCTCGCCAGCTCACTCTCGCCAGCTCACTCCTCGCTCACTCTCGCAGCTCACTCTCGCCAGGTCACTCCCGCCAGGTCACTCTCGCCAGCTCACTCTCGCCAGCTCACTCTCGCCAGCTCACTCTCGCCAGCTCACTCTCGCCAGCTCACTCTCGCAGCTCACTCTCGCCAGCTCACTCGCGCCAGCTCACTCTCGCCCAGCTCACTCTCGCCAGCTCACTCTCGCCAGCTCACTCCTCGCCAGGTCACTCTCGCCAGCTCACTCTCGCCAGCTCACCTCTCGCCAGCTCACTCTCGCCAGATCACTCTCGCCAGCTCACTCTCGCTCACTTTCGCCAGCTCACTCTCGCCAGCTCACTCTCGCCAGCTCACTCTCGCCAGCTCACTCTCGCCAGCTCACTCCGCCAGCTCACTCCCGCCAGCTCACTCTCGCCAGCTCACTCTCGCCAGCTCACTCTCGCCAGCTCACTCTCGCTCACTCTCGCCAGCTCACTCTCGCCAGGTCACTCCCGCCAGCTCACTCTCGCCAGCTCACTCTCGCCAGCTCACTCTCGCCAGCTCACTCTCGCCCGCTCACTCTCGCCAGCTCACTCTCGCCAGGTCACTCTCGCCAGCTCACTCTCGCCAGCTCACTCTCGCCAGCTCACTCTCGCCAGCTCACTCTCGCCAGGTCACTCTCGCCAGCTCACTCTCGCCAGCTCACTCTCCGCCAGCTCACTCTCGCCAGCTCACTCTCGCTCAGCTCACTCTCGCCAGCTCACTCTCGCCAGCTCACTCTCGCCAGGTCACTCTCGCCAGCTCACTCTCGCCAGCTCACTCTCGCCAGGTCACTCCCGCCAGGCTCACTCTCGCCAGCTCACTCTCGCCAGCTCACTCTCGCCAGCTCACTCTCGCCAGCTCACTCTCGCCAGCTCACTCTCGCCAGCTCACTCTCGCCAGCTCACTCTCGCCAGGTCACTCTCGCTCACTCTCGCCAGGTCACTCCCGCCAGGTCACTCTCGCCAGCTCACTCTCGCCAGCTCACTCTCGCTCACTCTCGCCAGCTCACTCTCGCCAGCTCACTCTCGCCAGCTCACTCTCGCTCACTCTCGCCAGCTCACTCTCGCCAGCTCACTCTCGCCAGCTCACTCTCGCCAGGTCACTCCCGCCAGCTCACTCTCGCCAGCTCACTCTCGCCAGGTCACTCCCGCCAGCTCACTCTCGCCAGCTCACTCTCGCCAGGTCACTCTCGCCAGGTCACTCTCGCTCACTCTCGCCAGCTCACTCTCGCCAGCTCACTCTCGCCAGCTCACTCTCGCCAGCTCACCCTCGCCAGCTCACTCTCGCCAGCTCACTCTCGCCAGCTCACTCTCGCCAGGTCACTCTCGCTCACTCTCGCCAGCTCACTCTCGCCAGCTCACTCTCGCCAGCTCACTCTCGCCAGCTCACTCTCGCCAGCTCACTCTCGCCAGCTCACTCTCGCCAGCTCACTCTCGCTCACTCTCGCCAGCTCACTCTCGCCAGCTCACTCTCGCCAGGTCACACTCGCTCACTCTCGCCAGCTCACTCTCGCCAGCTCACTCTCACCAGCTCACTCTCGCCAGCTCACTCTCGCCAGCTCACTCTCGCCAGCTCACTCTCGCCAGGTCACTCTCGCTCACTCTCGCCAGCTCACTCTCGCCAGGTCACTCCCGCCAGCTCACTCTCGCCGGCTCACTCTCGCCAGCTCACTCTCGCCAGGTCACTCCCGCCAGCTCACTCTCGCCAGCTCACTCTCGCCAGCTCACTCTCGCCAGCTCACTCTCGCCAGCTCACTCTCGCCAGCTCACTCTCGCTCACTCTCGCCAGCTCACTCTCGCCAGGTCACTCTCGCCAGCTCACTCTCGCTCACTCTCGCCAGCTCACTCTCGCCAGCTCACTCTCGCCAGGTCACACTCGCTCACTCTCGCCAGCTCACTCTCGCCAGCTCACTTTCGCCAGCTCACTCTCGCCAGCTCACTCTCGCCAGCTCACTCTCGCCAGGTCACTCTCGCTCACTCTCGCCAGCTCACTCTCGCCAGGTCACTCCCGCCAGCTCACTCTCGCTCACTCTCGCCAGCTCACTCTCGCCAGCTCACTCTCGCCAGGTCACACTCGCTCACTCTCGCCAGCTCACTCTCGCCAGCTCACTCTCGCCAGCTCACTCTCGCCAGCTCACTCTCGCCAGCTCACTCTCGCCAGGTCACTCTCGCTCACTCTCGCCAGCTCACTCTCGCCAGGTCACTCCCGCCAGCTCACTCTCGCTGGCTCACTCTCGCCAGCTCACTCTCGCCAGGTCATTCCCGCCAGCTCACTCTCGCCAGCTCACTCTCGCCAGCTCACTCTCGCCAGGTCACTCTCGCCAGCTCACTCTCGCCAGCTCACTCTCGCCAGCTCACTCTCGCCAGCTCACTCTCGCCAGCTCACTCTCGCCAGCTCACTCTCGCTCACTCTCGCCAGCTCACTCTCGCCAGGTCACTCTCGCCAGCTCACTCTCGCCAGCTCACTCTCGCCAGGTCACTCTCGCTCACTTTCGCCAGCTCACTCTCGCCAGCTCACTCTCGCCAGGTCACTCTCGCTCACTCTCGCCAGCTCACTCTCGCCAGGTCACTCTCGCCAGGTCACTCTCGCCAGGTCACTCTCGCCAGCTCACTCTCGCCAGCTCACTCTCGCCAGGTCACTCTCGCTCACTTTCACCAGCTCACTCTCGCCAGCTCACTCTCGCCAGGTCACTCTCGCTCACTCTCGCCAGCTCACTCTCGCCAGGTCACTCCCGCCAGGTCACTCTCGCCAGCTCACTCTCGCCAGGTCACTCTCGCCAGCTCACTCTCGCCAGCTCACTCTCGCCCACGGAGTGTTTGTTTGCTTACTCACCTGTGGACTAACGACGTCAATCTCTCACTCACTATCTCCTCTGCTCACTTATTCAGTCACTTGGTTGCTTCGCCGCTCACTCTACATTTCACCAAGTTACTCATTCACTCAATCGCTTATTCGCTGCTCGCTCAATCATTATTCACTCCCTTGCTCGCTCACCCTCTCACTGACGCAATCGTTTACTCATTCATGCAATCTCTTGTTCACTCGCTCACTCATTTGCTCACTCAATTACTTCCCTTCTCAATTGCTAAGTCACTCATTCACGTGACCATTTGTTCATTTACTCACTCAATTACTCACTAATTCACTGAGTCACATTCATTCAGCCAAATGCTCACTAAATTTTGATTTAAAGCTTTCGTGACTGCAGGGATTCATATTCTTGGTTCTTTCGGTAAAGTCACGTAGAAGGGAATCAATAAAATAATAAAAATATAAAACAATAAAATTCTCACGACGTTTCGACTGCAACACAAGCAATCATCATCAGGTGTGAAAACCACAGCAAGAAAATTTGAAAAAAGTGGCGGGTTTTTTTTTTACGTTAGCACCACGGAGAGCGATTTGGCAGTTATTCAGATGGACGAGTCCATCTATGTTCGGAAAAGAGGAGGGGGGAGACGAAAATAATGGATGCAAGAATACAAATGCTCACTCTTAAGCTCGCATGCTGACATGCTCTCTTGCGCTTTATTTTTGTAATCCATTTCTTAATCTTGAATTTTATGATTCAGAATTCCACATTTTAAAACTTCCACTCTTCATTGATAGTTTTGTTGCTTGTTCTCTGTCGTCGGTGTGTTGAAAACGAATTTCTTTAGAACTGCTTTTGTGTTTCGTTTGTTGTCCTTCCCCCGCACCTCCGATTAGCACGGTTGGATGCATACAGTGCAAAATAAATTTTTAAAAATAATGTTTATTTTTGACATTTTGAGTATAAATGTATTCCGTGTGATTCACGCTGTAAATAAAATTTCATCAGTAAATTACATAACATAAAAATCTTTGTTATGTAATTTGTGGGCTTTGTAAAAATGGGCTGTTTGAAAACCATTCGTACACTGCTAAGTAAATCAGCAGATGAGGTTTACTGGCAAGGTGATGCCACACTACTGCCTTCTTTACGTCAATAATTCTCTATAATCAATTTATTCCAAAGGGAATCTGGACCCCAGAAGGAGAAACGGTGAAAATCCCTGTGGCGATCAAGGTTTTGCGTGAAGACACCTCGCCACGCGCCAACAAGGAGATCTTGGATGTGAGTAGGCGACGGCGCCAGCACGAGAACCATTGGCGATTCTGCCCCAGCCTCTCGGCGACCAAGTCATGCTGGCGGCCACCGAGTAATGCTGGCAGCCAGTGGAGGTCATGCGAAACCAGACCGCGGTGCCGAGATAGGGCCCGATGCGTTCACGTTTCATTTCACAGTCTGCGGCTAAAACACAGAGGCGACTTTTCTAGAGGTGTCACGGAGAGAGACGGTGCAGGTGAAGTAAAAACAACAAAAAATGGAGAAGCGACACGCACAGCGATCTGCCTGCGGGCGACGCACGGCGTCTCTGCGAGGATGGTGGCACCGCTCGATGACGACGACGACCACCACAAAAGCCTGGGGCACGAATCCTGAAATCTCGGCTGAAACATCGTAACCGGGAGTGGCCCTGTTGCTCTTCCTTCCCATACTCGCGCTCTAGGAACACGACCACCCCTCCCACTTTCCCTGTCCTTTGCCCTCCTCCCCCCGTACAAAAAAATCCAACGCTGTCAAAGGATTTGTTCGATGGTGATTCCAATGGATTGTGTACTTTACATCATCAGAGGTGCACACTGTTGAGTCTGTTTAAAAGCTGGTTATTGTTTTGTTATTTGTACTTTGAGATGAACACATTGAATCTCACCAGCCCACCGCCTTCCACCAGGGGGAGTTGATCTCATCGGCTACAGCACGATCGGAACTTCCTGTGATGACGACACTGGCGCGTGTTTACACCTCCCGGCAAGCGCCACGCCTGTGTTGCCTGTGCTACCTCTGTTACCTGTCGGAACGCTCGGCGCGTGTGTGCGCACAGTCTGTGCAAGTGGCAGCTCTGATTTATGATCAAATAGTTTCGTTTATATCTGATACCGCATGCCACGTAATTCATCCTCGCTGATAAACAGTTGACTGCTTTGCACCCCGGGGTATTTATTATTTTCAAGCTTGGGCGGACGAACATTTTTTGTTTGCCACGTCTGTGTCGCCACCGCTCGCGTCGCGCTGCGTGAGGTCGCCCACGAGTGGCGGACGGGAGCTAGCGCGATTGGCGGGCTCCGACCTTGCGGAGTAACGATCGCATTCCTGGGTGGGCCCTTGCGCGGCCCGTCGCTCGACGCAAGTCTTGTTGACTGCCCGTTCATCGCCGCCGATAACGTCACCTCGCGCCCAGCACGGCCTGGTTCTCCGTGCACGTTGCACCCACAATCTCCGGCTGCCAGGTTCAAGTCGTGTAGGAAGAAGTAAAAATGTTTGGGAAAATTTCTTAATCTCTTATTGCCTTTTGTCACCCCTGCAATAAAATTGGTACATAGCAGTGAATATAACACATTACCCTGCGAGTGTCACGCTCACATCCCCACAAGCCTTCACCTGTCTCTAATGAACTTTTATGAGCGCCCCCCTCCCCCAAGCTAACACAGATTACCATTTTTCAATGAATTTTGGTGAACTGCTCACTGCTACCCACCACGGAGTACTGTACTTCTGTGCTCCCCACCTTCATCAACCCTAAATGAACAGTGTGGTGAACTGTGTTCAGGATGGGACACACGGCTTGAGGATGCACTCCTCTAGCAGTGGATTGACAAAGGGTCTGTGCAAGTGCGTGTATGATGCTCCGTAATAGCAATTGTTTTATTACAGTCGTGCACTTTACACATTCAGTGGCCTCCGCAATAGCGCGGCTGGTGAACTCTCGGCGTACATGTGCCGGTGTCGACGCGTGCAGGAGGCCTACGTGATGGCTAGCATCGACCACCAGCACCTGGTGCGCCTGCTGGGCATCTGCCTGAGCTCGACGACGCAGCTGGTGACGCAGCTGATGCCGTACGGCTGCCTCCTCGACTACGTGCGTGAGCACACCGACAAGATCGGCTCCCAGCCCCTGCTCAACTGGTGTGTGCAGATTGCCAAGGCAAGTGAAGCACGTGCACGCGCGGCCGGGACGTGAAAAGCACCTAGTTTGCAAGAGGCGCTGCTGCACGTGCCTGAACCTCAGAACCTCGCGCATCTCAAAATCGTCCCCACCAGGAGCGCCAACCAGTGGAGTTTTGACAACAGTGTTTGTGAAAATGTTCCCCGCGCACGAACGACAGGGAATGAATTACCTGGAGGACCGGAGGCTGGTTCACCGGGACCTGGCCGCTCGCAACGTGCTCGTGAAAGCGCCAAACCACGTCAAGATCACTGACTTTGGACTCGCCAAGCTGCTGGACCTCAACGAGACCGAGTATCACTCCGAGGGGGGCAAGGTGAGCTCCCGCCCCCCCACTCCCATCCCCACAGCTCATCTCCTCGGAGCTGCTCTAATATTTTGATGACACAGATCTGCTCCGCAAATGTGTGGCCTGACCCAAATATCTGTTACGAATCTGGCAACCTTCAGGTTAAACATTCTGCAGGATTTATTAAAATGTGCTCCCAAATAATGCTGTATAAATCCTTAGGTCCGCGTAGCATTTCGAACAAAAATCATACAAGCGATGAAATTTTTACTTCGAAGTTCGAACACATTTTAATAATTTTGGTTGGATGAGAAGCACCGTGTGCTGTGGTCTAACGCCACTCTCTTGTTTTGTCTGTGTTCGATTTCTACAGCTTCCCATCAAGTGGCTCGCATTGGAGTCGATTCAGCAGAGGATCTTCACCCATCAGAGTGACGTGTGGAGCTACGGTACTCATCGCAGCCACCTGCCTGGCTTCCCGCGGGTACCTCCTGCTGAGCAGGAGGTCACATTCACCGTCTGTCTGGCTTTGATGACGACAGACAAACTGCAGACCCTTCTCTTGATTGTAGCACAATGTCACCCCTTATAGCGTATACTAATAATGCCTTTTCCTTACCCTTTAGAGTCTCGCCGAGTCTCACGACTCTTATTCAAGAGGGTCCTGTATTGAGATGTTGGGTCAATTTTAGTAATAAGTGTTTTGCTTGTGGGGAAAATTTGAACACCAGAGAAAGCGCATGCATATGAGCAGACAGCAGTCTCACGCTCTGCACCGGTATATCGATGCTATTTCGTGACCACCTCGCTGCACATGTAGGCAGCGAGGTGGTCACGCCCCTCCACATACTCGACAGGCTCAACCCAGCTTAGTTTCTGAGGTTGGACTCAACGTCGCAACTCGAGCACCTCCGTCAGTAACGTCCCTCGCCGCTGTCCCCTGCCCCCCCACCCCCCTTGCCGGCACCTCGCATCACAGGGGTCACGCTGTGGGAGCTCATGACGTTCGGCGGGAAGCCGTACGACGGCGTCCCGGCACGGGACATCCCTGAGCTGCTGGAGAAGGGAGAGCGGCTGACCCAGCCGCCCATCTGCACCATCGACGTCTACATGATCATGGTGAAATGTACGTGGCGCCTGACGCGATCGCTTCTCCTGCCTCGCCGGGGATCCGTTCCAGCTGAAGCTGTCTGGGATGCAGCTTTGGAGAATATTCCTCACCTCCACATCCTGTGCTGTTGGGGGGCCCGGGAGGGGGATTTGGGTGTTGAAGTTTTATTTAGCTACTAAACAAAATAAAAGAATTGTTTGAGGGACACAATTGTAAAACACAGTAGAGTGTATGTACCTCGAGCAGTGCGTTTAAGGCGGATTGGAATCAAATTGGCAGAAAGAAAAATGTGTGCGCAAGAGCAAGTAGGTTGCTTTAGATGACCTAATCTGATGATTATTATAATGATAATGATTACATTTTCAGAGTACCCTTTACAGCAGGGCATCTCAGAGCACTTTATACGTGATGAGCGACTTATATCTCATCTCAAACAATTGAAAGGGCATCCCCAGTGGCAGCTGCCCCTGTGAGCACAAGGTGACTCCAGTGCCTGGCCTGCGAGTGGGAATTTGTCTGCCACTCGGGAGGCAATGATTGCGCTGTGTTATTCCCAATTGAGTAATTTGTAGGTTTTTTACTTTACAATTTTGGACCATGACCAGCAAACAATTTCCCATATTTATATGGCTAATACATCCATAGTAATAACCAGGGCGGCCTGTCGGATTAGAATTTCAAAACTCTGAAACAAGCAGCGAAAGCGCTCCCGCTGGGGCATGTCACCTGGTGAAAAACAAACGTAGCAGCGTGCAGCCACTTGACGCTCCGTGTGGTTGTGTCCTGCCAGGCTGGATGATCGATGCGGAGAGTCGGCCTAAATTCCGGGAACTCGCCGCGGAATTCTCCAAGATGGCACGCGACCCTACGCGGTACCTCGTCATCCAGGTGAGGCGTCCTCACGCAACCACGCCAACGTGTGTCTCCATCGTCTTGCAGGCTATGAAACAAGCGGGTTGTGAGTGTCGCTAACAAACAGCAGGAAGGCACGACTCCCACTGTTCCTTGCCTGCATGTCATCAGACCACCACATTGCATGTGCAACGCTTTAAGCCTTGTCTAGGTCACCAACTCAAAAGAGAGTGTTTAGATGAATTAGCTGCTATAAAAGTCCACATGTTAGCCAAATCGTTGAGCCATCATTTGTGGCCAGGTCGCGTCTGAAAAATAAGCTAAATAGCTCAGTGGGCTTTACCTGCTAAAATAAAAATGTTAGTTTTTTCCTGATTTTTTTTTACCTTTCCCATACTTTGCACTCCTATCGTATTTTTTTAATTGTTTGTTGTAACTTCCAGACTCGCCCTGACTGGACATTTGTGAAAAAGAGCTTTATAGCTCTTCGGATTCCTCCAGTATAAAGATTCTGATTCTGATCAGAGACCACCAGCTCAAAATATTAGATAGTAATGATCGTATATGAAGGCAGCAACGAAACAAAATGGCAGCACGCCCAGTGTGCTCCCGCCAGTGTCTCGCATTGCGAAAAACTATCGCCGTTGGCAGTTCTGAACAAATTATGGAGAAGTTATTTTGTTTTGTGTTTAGTTTGTTGTCATTCCCCCGCACCTCTGATTCGCACGGTTGGCTATGTACGGTGCGAAAGAAGTCCAGCATACATACACATACATACCGTTCACAAGAAAAAAAGTCCACAGCAGCCAACGCAAGGGAATGTGGGGACACACGCACCCAGGTGAACCCAGGAGAGACAGCCCGGTCCGCACTGCTTGCGCTGTGGCAGTGTGGTGTGTGTTACTGCCCACTGCGTTTGAGTTATCACGAGTTGCATCAACCGTAAGACTTTTTTTTTCCTACTCATGCCTCTAGGAATGTTGTAAAATATGCAAACAAAGTCCCCATCCCCCTTGTTGAGTCTACCTGTGTTGACTCTTGCAGAGTAAATTTAAAAAAATGCGTAAACATCTTCTAGTATAAATAAATATTCTGATTCTGATGTGCAGCAGTTTCTATCAATCTGCTGCTGAATGAGGGCCTCCCCAAGTGACCGCCATCCTGCATGATCCCGTGATGGAACAATCGGCACAGCAACTCAACGCAAGCCGATTGCGTCACTCCTTCTCCACCGTGGATGTCCACTTAGGCTCTCTCTGTTCTTTGGCGACCGCTTGGTAGTTCGTCTCTCGCTAGCCGTCATTGCTTCGAGCGACGTGTCCTGCCAAGCTCACAGAACCTTTCTTCACGGTCAATATGATGTCTCTAGCCTGCACGTGTTCTCTAATCCAAGGTACTCCTCTTTCTGTCTCTTAGTTTTATCCCAATTGTGCTATCGGTGTCACGTCACGAGAAAACCCTTCCCGTGAGAGAACGGCACACGGAAGGAGATATCGCAGAGCTACGTCCCGAGAGCCCTTCGAGCGACCTCTGCGACTTTGTCCCCTCCGCCAGGGCGACGAGCGCATGAAGCTGCCGAGCCCCACCGACAGCCGCTTCCTGCAGAGCCTCATGGAGGAGGACGACATGAGCCAGATGGTGGACGCAGAGGAGTACCTCACCCCGCCACCATTCCCCCTCCGCCCGCCGCCGCCGCCGGGAGCCATCGACCCGGTAACCACGCCTCAACGCATCTCACCCACCCGCCCCCTCCAACCTCTTTTCCACTGGCATACCTGAGCCAAACCAGCGTGGGGCCATTACAATGCGGGTGCTTTTACCCTGGCTGCTGCTGTTTGCCCTGCTGAACCGGAACTAAACCAGATATCCCGGTCGGGCTGGAGTGGGGGCCAAGCGTGGCCTGGATCGGGACTGATAATACACTCGTTTCATTTGACATTAGTCGATAACAATTCCAGCACAGTGTCACCGCGTCATCTACGTGTGCCTCAATGCGTGTGACAATACAAATAATAATTGCTTCTGAATACATCGTACAACCTAACTCTGTGTGTACCTCCTGGCCGAAGTGGAGTCACGTTGGGAGGTGTACAATTCATCACATTGCCATGCAATGTGGACATCCTGTAACCGATGTGTCATTTGTGCCCTCTCTGCCCATAGAGTGGAAGCAATTCCCCAACACTGCCCGGCCAAGGCATTACTGGGGTGAGTGCCTGAATATTATAAAAAAAAATTGCTGTCAACAACTGTGGCATTGTACTGTCCTGTGTGTGTGTTCTGCAGTAGTGCCATTGGTTGGGCTGGAAATACGGGTTCATTTCGTATTTCAATTGCAATATGAACATGGCTTGGGCTTCCTTTAAGTCAACTCAACCTTAAATAAATAACCAATGCATTGTTGTGTGAATATAAGCGCTTGATAAACAAATGCAGCCGACCTGCTTGCCCCAACAGTCTGTTTAGGGTATACGGGGATATTTGTCTTTGTATGTATTGCACATGCATACATACAGTGGTACCTCGGTATAGGTCGTTAATTCGTTCCAGAAGGTAGGACTTGACGTATACCGGAAGTGACGTCTACCAAACGAATTTTTCCCATAAGAAATAAAGGGAAAGGAAGTAATCCGTTCCAGAGTATAATAAATTATATTTTATATGGCATATTATACATTCATGGGGTTGTATAACATAACTTAGACACTACTTATTATTACTAAAATGCATACATACAGTGAGGGGAAAAGTATTTGATCACCTGCTGATTTTGTACGTTTGCCCACTCACAAAGAAATGATCATTCTATAATTTTAATGGTAGGTTTATTTTAACAGTGAGAGACAGAATAACAACAACAAAATCCAGAAAAACGCATGTCAAAACTGTTATAAATTGATTTGCATTTTAATGAGGGAAATAAGTATTTGACCCCCTCTCAATCAGATTTCTGGCTCCCAGGTGTCTTTTATACAGGTAACGAGCTGAGATTAGGAGAACACTCTTAAAGGGAGTGCTCCTAATCTCAGCTTGTTGTATAAAATACACCTGTCCACAGAAGCAATCAATCAATCAGATTCCAAACTTTCCACCATGGCCAAGACCAAAGAGCTCTCCAAGGATGTCAGGGACAAGATTGTAGACCTACACAAGGCTGAAATGGGCTACAAGACCATTGCCAAGCAGCTTGGTGAGAAGGTGACAACAGTTGGTGCGATTATTCGCAAATGGAAGAAACACAAAATAACTGTCAATTTCCCTCGGCCTGGGGCTCCATGCAAGATCTCACCTCGTGGAGTTGCAATGATCATGAGAATGGTGAGGAATCAGCCCAGAACTACACGGGAGGATCTTGTCAATGATCTCAAGGCAGCTGGGACCATAATCACCAATAAAACAATTGGTAACACACTACGCCGTGAAAGACTGAAATCCTGCAGCGCCCGCAAGGTCCCCCTGCTCAAGAAAGCACATATACATTCCGTCTGAAGTTTGCCAATGAACATCTGAATGATTCAGAGGACAACTGGGTGAAAGTGTTGTGGTCAGATGAGACCAAAATGGAGCTTTTTGGCATCAACTCAACTTGCCTTGTTTGGAGGAGGAGGAATGCTGCCTATGACCCCAAGAACACCATCCCCACCGTCAAACATGGAGGTGGAAACATTATGCTTTGGGGGTGTTTTTCTGCTAAGGGGACAGGACAACTTCACCGCATCAAAGGGACGATGGACGGGGCCATGTACCGTCAAATCTTGGGTGAGAACCTCCTTCCCTCAGCCAGGGCATTGAAAATGGGTCGTGGATGGGTATTCCAGCATGACAATGACCCAAAACACACGGCCAAGGCAACAAAGGAGTGGCTCATGAAGAAGCACATGAAGGTCCTGGAGTGGCCTAGCCAGTCTGCAGACCTTAATCCCATAAAAAAATCTGTGGAGGGAGCTGAAGGTTCGAGTTGCCAAACGTCAGCCTCGAAACCTTAATGACTTGGAGAAGATCTGCAAAGAGAAGTGGGACAAAATCCCTCCTGAGATGTGTGCAAACCTGGTGGCCAACTACAAGAAACGTCTGACCTCTGTGATTGCCAACAAGGGTTTTGCCACCAAGTACCAAGTCATGTTTTGCAGTAGGGTCAAATACTTATTTCCCTCATTAAAATGCCAATCAATTTATAATATTTTTGACATGCGTTTTTCTGGATTGTTTTGTTGTTATTCTGTCTCTCACTGTTCAAATAAACCTGCCATTAAAATTATAGACTGATCATTTCTTTGTCAGTGGGCAAACGTACAAAATCAGCACGGGATCAAATACTTTTTTCCCTCACTGTACATTAAAATAAATGCATAAATAAATTGAAGTAAATTGAAATAAAAATAAAATTTAACATCACTTTACCTTGCTTCTTAGGACCCATCTTGAATGAATTCGCGAAAATTTCACGTTCAAATTACAAAAAACACGTGAAAATTCACCGAGAGTTATAGCAAGGGCTGTGCACTGAACGAGATCTCCAGGCAGACTGAGGAGCGGTGCTTTGTTTCAGTCGTGAACGGGGTAGACACGGGTACGCGGTGACTCATCCCGACCCATACAAGTTCTAGCAAGCGTGTCGTATCTCAAGCAAGACGTCGTATCCCAAGACATTTTTTTCTCGTCAAAACACGACATATACCAAATTCGACGTATTCCAAAGCGGTCGTATACCGAGGTATGAGGTATGACTGTATTTGACGCAGTGGTTAGCACAGAGCACTGCGAAACTGTTTAACCGAGTTCAATTCCCAACCACGACTAACATGAGTGGTGAATGATCTCTGAACTGGTCCCCGGGCCTCTCCACGGTCGACTCGGCGTTAACTGAGTACCTAATGATGTGGTGCGTTCTGCAAAGACAAAGGTGGCCGGGCATCGCGTTGGCCACACCGCCGCCTCGTGCGCCATTCTAATTAAACGCTCCCTAGGAGCGTTGCAGACTCCACGCGTGTGCTTGATTTTTTTTTCCGTGCTCGTCTTTTTGCGTGCATCATCCTCCACCGTGGTGCAGACGTCAGACCCGGACTCGGAGTTCGGCTCCGAGCACGGCGCCGCGGCCCCGCGCATGCCGTCGCTCGTGAGCCGCAGCATCTCGCGCCAGTTGGAAGATGCGCATGCCCACTACCCCGGCAGCGGCGCCGGCGGCAGTGCCAACGCCACCGCCGGTGGCTCCGCGGCGGACGTGTTCGTCAGAGGTGCCGGTGGCTACGGCAGCGGCGGCTCGGGGGAGATCCCCATCGGCGGTTCGTGCGTGGACGGGAAGGCGTCGCTGCCGAGGTTGCACAACAACAGCGTGCGGCACCGCTACAGCAGCGACCCCACGGGGCCGCCGGTGCCCGCGAGCGATGGCGGCGGCGGCGGTGGTGACGACGATGACACGGACGACGGAACCGGCGACGATCTGAACTTCCAAAGCCGCCCGCAGAACCTGGACAATCCCGGTGAGATTGGCGTCAGGCATAGAGGTGGTGCCGCCTGTATAAGTTGTAGACGGCATAGCAAGTAGTTTATCTATGTACGTTGAACTTCTTTCGCACAGTACGTAGCCAACCGTGCTAATCGGAGTTTCCTGACCTGTCGGCATGTAGTGCATTTTATTTTTGAAAACACATTTTAGTAGAGTTAGGATGTCCCTTAAGATGCGGGGACGAGAGCATATTGTTTCTAGAAGTGTTGTCTTTGAGGTGACCGGGTGGTACACAGGTCAGAGGGTGCTTCAATGTCACTGCGGAGGTCCTGGGATATTAAAACCGGCTTCTCAGGTGTAGTGAGTTTATATCCAATATCCAGTGATTGTACAAATAAAAAAAAGAACATCACGTAAAATTTGGTTCTGCATTTAATTTGGCGAATTTTATAGCTCTGAGAATTAAAAATAATGGTTCGACTGTCAGGTAGTAGCAGAGCAGGTGGGAAAGTGTTGCAGCCGACTGTGTAGCCCAGAGGTCTCTTGAATGGAGCTCAGTAGTAGTTCCGTTATATCTCCTTCTGCAGACCGTTCTCTAGCAGGGCGATAGTCTCGTGGCACGACACAACTGGGATACAATTTGGGGAAAACACAACAACACTTTCAAAGACAAGCAAAGTGTTGTCCCATGACATGTGTTTGTTTTCTCCTGGCATTTCCCAATGGAAATAAACTCAAATATAAATTGGCTAAATATAGAAAGAAGAACATCCTGTGTAGGTGCAGGGTTATCCTCTACCTATTGTGGCCGCCAAGATCTATCCACTGCCAACACTGGACATGTAATTATTGTAACGTCTCGCAAACCATCAGTGCGGAATGAAGATACTAATGCTCATCAAGGAAAGCCACACTGAACCTGAAGACTTTTTCAGGAGGGTCCTGCTAAATTGGAATGTTTGACAAACACCAATGACATTTCATGTTTTTAACCCGGATGAAACCCTTGCAGAACAGAGTGAGAACATACAAACTCCGCACAGAAATGCACCCGAGTCAGGATTCTAACCCAGTACCTCCTTGCTACGAGGCGCAAGCGTTACCACTGCACCACCCTGCCGCCCTAAGTGTGAAAGTGTCGCTTAAACGACGATGAAGAGCAAGAGTCCAGTTACTATGCGTTCGTTGGTCCGTGATTAATTAATGAGCACGACTTTTCTCCATTGGCGCATCCCCCCTCCCGCACCCCCCTGTGTAGAGTACATGAACCCCATCAACAGGCTGCAGGACCCGCTCGCGCTCTCCAACCCCGAGTACATCAACTACCAGGCCGCTGATGACTTGGACGCCGAGTACGTGAACACGGCCCCGAGTGTCGCCGGCCATGCGGCGCCCTACACCGTCCAGAACCCAGAGTACCTCGAGCCGCGGTCCAGCGACACAGACGCGGACTCCGGCTTGGGGCCCCTCGGCAGCTCGCAGCCGTTCAGCAGCCAGGCCTTCGACAACCAGGAGTACCTGGAGGACTCGTTGCTGTGCCGCCAGGCGTCGCTCGACAACCCCGAGTACATTTGCGCGCCGTCCGGGGACAGGCGCAACGGCCACTTGAAGTCGGTGGACGGCATCGGCGGCGGCGGAGGCACCGTGGGCGCTGTGGACAATCCCGAGTACCTGCTGGCGGTGACACCGCTCATGGGGACGGGGGTGCGGAGCGGACACACCGACACGATGGTGTGACGCGCGCCGGTGGATGCGGCGATATGACACCACGTTGTGCCGCACCGGCAGACTCAAGTAGCCGAGGACTGTAGTGGAGAAAGCCCCGTGGAGTATAGTGTCAGTGATTGCCCCCCTGTCCAGGGCGTCTCAGATTTTTATGACACCTGCAAGAAAGGGAAGCGCTAACCCCCAGTGACACGGCAGAGCCAGGGGCATCAGCGGTCGTGGTGAAACGGGTTTTGTTTGCAAGTAGGAGCTGTGTTCGTGGTGCTTGGGACTACCACGTGGGGTCCGTGCCCCCACAGGTTCTCGTTTGTTTCACAGTCTTGTTCGTCACCCATCCACACAACGAGCTACAGGTGTGTGCATCGCAAAAGGCTCAATAACTCCACAGTAAGATCACAAAACCCACCGTATCGTGGTAAATCCGTGGACACGCGGCGATGCGCCGAGGGACCGGATTTACGTCTCGCCGAACCTTTCACTTTCAGCCAGTTTTTTTGGCTAACGTACCGATGTCTCCCATGACCAGCAAATGGGGGCGGTTGCCAATGCACAGTTGCGTTTCAGCCGTTTCTTCTCAACGTGAATCTGGCCCAAAAGGAACTCGTTCACAAAAATTGTAATGTATTTGAAAACATGGTAATTACAAATGAATCGCACACAGTAATTGAAAAAAGCAATAAGAGCTGTATATTTTTTGTGTTTTTATACCGTATTGAATTGTTTATTTTTTAACACTATTAGATATACCGAAGCAATAAAACAATGTGGTATGTATGATGGTCTCCGTGGTACTAAGTAATGTGTAGATTCGCTTCGCATTATCTCACTACTGAAAAACAGCACTACAAGCTTCAAATCAAGACAGCGCTACAGTTTTAAACACTCTTCGGGGATGTCAATATTAACACTAATGAACTACTGGCTTACTTTTGGCAGAATTACTCAACTTGTGTTGTAGCTAGGCACTTGTATACATTTAATGGAAGACTATATTTTTATTTTAGATATACGGTTTATACATTGTAATCCACAGCTGTGTATAGGTGACTTTTGGGGGAAACGCCACTGTCTTTGATTGTGAAGGGTGTTTCGCTGATATTTGCTTCGTCTGAAAAATGTAATTGCAGCTAACAAGAATAATGTTTATCTTTGCAAAATCTGTGTGTACAGAAGAACAGTCATGAACTCACAACCTTGGAAAACATTAACTTGTTGTCCATCGCAGCGCATTGTAATGATTTTGCCTTGTCGTTTATGTTTGGTGTTTTAGTCTTTTTCTAAAAGTGCAGGACACCGAGAAGTTTATCTGCCGAGTTTATAGTGTACTGTACATAAATATTTTGTGTAAATATTGGTACGAGAAAAGCCACTTTACAGATTGTAATTTCATACTGATATCAAAGTGCAGCTTAGAGGCAACGCTCTGTATAATGGAATATAATGTATGTTTGTGAGAAAAACTAAATTTTTTTGTCGTTGGGTTTAGAAGTGTTGCAACATAGTACGTCAACATTTAACTCCACCATTATGCTGTACAATAACTGTTATTTTAGTTTAAACAATCATATTTCATTTAACGCATACGCTCGTTGATACTTAAATACATGAATTCAAATTACGTTCATAATTGTTTGGCTAAAACGCCCATTTAGATGAATAAAGATTCGACTCAAAGAAAGGCCAAATAGCAGCTTCCTTTCACCAACCACAGAATCGCGTAGATGCCGAACGTCCCTTGCACCAAGCAGGGCAGGCCACGTTTCGCCAACACAGAGAGCCCGCCTTAGCACGAGGCAACGCATAGTGCAAAGTTCAAGTGTGAATTCCGAAGCCCTCATTGAAAAATGCACTTTAGAACTTAACTTTGCTGGTAAATTCCGTGTGTTAATAAAGGAAAGCCGTCCTGATAAGCTTTCTGGGAATAGTGTGTCCTGTATCGAGGGACGGTGCAAGTATTTTGGGATGCCCTTATCACCGCGTGCCACTCCCAGAGCTCCGAGGAGAGGCAATTGCTAAAGTATCCCCACGGCTCTTGCAGTGAACCCGAATGTACCCAGCAACAATTCCACCACTTTTGTCTCTTAAAATTCCCATCAGCGTGACATTTCTCGTGTGTCGATTTTGTTTTGCTCATACGTGTTGGACCGTTGGCTCACACAAGCTTATGGCCTACAGGAGTACGCTATACTGTGAAACCTTGTACCTTGCGAATTGTAATGCTGCAGGCCCCGATAAGTTGTCTACTCCTTGGGTGGGGATTTTTTTGTACAATGTTTATAATGTTTAAAGCACATGAGCACATGTCGGTTCTTTCCAAAATTACACCTCTTACAGCTGATCGAGTTTTATTTTTAAAATCACTGTACATTGCTGAACAATTAAATGATTACATTTAAACTTAACTCACTTAGAAAATATTATCTGGTTTATTTTGTGTCAAAAACTCTGTTGCGTACATAGAGATGCTGTCGAGGGCATACCGATGGTAAGGCATTAGCTCTTTCCTTTAAGAATTCAAAATATGTTGACCTGTGTTGGCATTCATTTAGGTTTGTGTACATTTTATGTGTAATGTTTGCTGAAGAAACAATAAAGCAGTGGAATATTAAATTTCAGTCAATGCCACTGATTTATAAAATTTCAGTTGATGATTGTACTCATGCCCATTTGTCAGTCAAGTTTGCTCGGATAAATGAGTCCCATCGTGTTACTGCGTGATGACCTCTACGTATGGACTCGTACCAGGTCTCATGAACAGAAGCAGTGGAGTCATTGGTGCCTTGATGGCTCGTTTGGTTCTATACAGCTCTCAAATCCAAAAATACCTGCACGTGAAAGAATAAGATGTGCTCATTCGTCATTGTTTCTGAAAATAACAAAAGTGAAGTGATAAATCGCAGGTTGTAATTGGCGTCTGCAAACGTTTTCACCACTCCTTAAAATCCCCAATAAACGCAATTCAGCTGGAGACACGGGAGAGGCGTATGTATCGAATGTCACACTTTATCCACGGACACAGACACAACGAGCCTCTTCCACTTTATTTTGGCATGCTGCGACTTGGGCCCGATTCCTGGCCACTGAATACATTACTGAACAGCTGAATTAGCAATGGGCCTCTCTTAGGTCGACTGAGCCTTAAATAAGTACCCGGTGCAATGTATAACATCCTCACTGGGGAGACAAAGGCGACCAGGCGTTCCTGACATCAGTGCGTTCGCCTGCCGTGCAGGCTGAAGACTCCGTATTTTGTGTCTGTGTGTTTTAATGGTTTGTTCATTCAATCATTAACTCGTGTTTATTGACAGCGAGGCTGTGATAATAACTAAGCACGCGGTGCAGACTTTGAGGTGTGTGAGTAGGTCACTGGACTCGCTCGGTCTGAGGCCACGCTGAGCCAATCCCAGATCTCTATGGAGCACGTTATTGGGCCTGCACAGCTGCCATCACGGGATCGACGGAGACTTGGGGAGGCCTTCATCCAGCAGTGTCTTGACCATGGCTGATGATGATCATCACAAGTAATGTGTGCGACCTACAACCCAAAAATATTCGTTCATATCAAGTGGTGCCTGCCAGCCTTTAACAAAGTAATCCGGAGGATTTCCAAAGAGATTAGTTCTGCGTAAAAAGTCGCGTTGGTAAAACCTAACAAAAATCAGTTGGAGGTGTGGCGCGACAAAGCCAGTGTGTCTTGAGTGGGCCCTCCACGGAGCCACCAACAGCCACGTGTCAAGGTCTGCACCGCGCACCCGGCTAACGGCGGGCACTGCTCTCGAGATTATTCGGCGCCGCGTGATCGCCACCGCCGCGCATTCACCGAATTCACCTTCCTGGAAATGTGACAAATGTGGGGAGAAGTTGGCAACCGCGAAATCTGGCAAACAGCCCGGCCCAGTTGCCGCTTCACGGCTGTTTGATCCGCAAACAGCGACAACAATAGGGCCCGGCTGCCCACAATGAACGCGATTCAGCAAGAACCGAGGCGACACAAAGGAGCTCACTTTGCAATGGAAGCGGAGCCAGGTGGGGTTCATCATAGAGGGGGGCAGGCCCCCACAAGAACAACTCCTCATCCTCTGCCCCCTCCCCCCACTGCCAACCCAAATCCAGATCTCCTGCCCACACACCCCGAACATGTGGTTAGGATGTTGTGCCCTCTGGGTGCGAACGACGGATGTATGCTGTCTGCAGCATGCTGTTTTGCATGACTATCTACTTGATTGAGACCTCGAGGCCCTGTATGTAATGTGCATGTGTACAGTCCGCCTTGTCAATCCACTGCTGGATTATTTGACCATACTTCACCGCCCTGGTCAGTGCTGATTGCTGAAGGTGTCGGGGAGGGGGCATGACAGAAACTAGGATGCATACGAGGGCGTAACGCTCAAAACTCCACACCGATGGATTCAATAATTCATGGATGTACCTCTGGCCAAGTGGTCCGGTAGTCATGGACTTAAATGGAATGGAACAGTACAGTAGGGTACAGAGGAATAGTATGTGCTTTGTAGAAGGGCCATTGCCCGGAACGTCGTTTATTAAATACTTGTCCTTTGTAAGGCGGTACGGTACGCGTTATTGACGAATGTGAGGGGATATTTCTGTTGTTATTTGTGCTTGTGCATGGCAGGAGCGCGTGGTTTCCTGCACGACTCCTTCGCCAGGTTACAAAACCCACCACGCGTGCCACCCACCACGCGTGCCACCCACCACGCGTGCCACCCACCACGCGTGCCACCCACCACGCGTGCCACCCACCACTCGTGCCACCCACCACGCGTGCCACCCACAGCAACAAGTCTGAGATTCTCCACGCGTGCCACCCATCACGCGTGCCACCCACCACGCGTGCCACCCACCACTCGTGCCACCCACCACGCGTGCCACCCACCACTCGTGCCACCCACCACGCGTGCCACCCACAGCAACAAGTCTGAGATTCTCCACGCGTGCCACGGGGCGAAGCGGCTGCTGAGCGGCTGCCCCCTTGCGGTCGCTGCTCGCAATCACCCTCGCGTGTCACCCTCACCACGAAGACGAAGACCCAAGTGGAGCCCTCACCAGACTGTAGGGGCAAGTGCTGTTAGCGAGCAGCACCTGTGAAGGCCGGCGCTATGGCACACGAGGGGGTGGGTGGCCAGCATCTCCCCAGTGGCAACATTTACTACACACCGCACCAGGTACTCATTTGAGGCTGAGTCGACCTGGAGGAGGCCCAGGACAGGGTTGAGATCATCGTCACTGCTCTTGGTGGTCGTGAGTGGGAATCCAACTCGGGTCGTCGGATTCGTAGCGCAGCGCGTTAACCCCTCACCCCTCACCACCACCCTCACCACCTCACCACCCCTCCTCACCACCCCCCTCATCACCCCTCCCTCAACCCCTCATCACCCTCTCACCACCACCCCTCACCCCCTCACCACCACCCCCACCACCCCCCCTCACCACCACCCCTCACCCCCTCACCACCACCCCTCACCCCCTCACCACCTCATTACCCCCCTCATCACCCCCCTCATCACCTCCCTCACCACCCCCCTCACCACCCCCCTCACCACCCCCCTCATCACCCCTCACCACCCCCCTCACCACCCCCCCTCCACCACCCCCCTCATCACCCTCCCTCACCACCCCCCCCTCATCACCCCCCCTCATCACCCCCCCCTCACCACCCCCCCTCAACACCCCCCCTCACCCCCCTCATCACCCCCCTCATCACCCCCCTCACCAGCCCCCCTCACCACCCCCCCTCACCACCACACCCCCCCCCCCTCATCACCCCCCCCCTCATCACCCCCCTCATCACCCCCCTCATCACCCCCCCTCACCACCCCCCTCACCACCCCCCCTCACCCCCCTCATCACCCCCCTCATCACCCCCCTCATCACCCCCCCTCACCCCCCTCATCACCCCCCTCATCACCCCCCCTCACCACCCCCCTCACCACCCCCCCTCACCCCCCTCATCACCCCCCTCATCACCCCCCCTCACCACCCCCCTCACCACCCCCCCTCATCACCCCCCCTCACCACCCCCCTCACCACCCCCCCTCACCACCCCTCCTCACCACCCCCCCTCACCACCCCCCCTCACCACCCCCCCCACCCCCCCCCACCACCCCCCCTCATCACACCCCCTCACCACCCCCCCCTCACCACCCCTCCTCACCACCCCCCCCACCCCCCCCCTCACCACCCCCCCCCACCACCCTCGGCCACTCGTCTCAGTCAGCGACCCGTGCCACCTGCTGGGTCTGCCCCGTGACCTCCTGCCGGCGGGCGTTCGACACTTCACGTGGTAGCCTCAACGTGCACCTAGCCTGGCACAGGCGCCGTGGTGGCGAATGGCGGCTGTTGTTGTTGATGCTGCTGCTCATGTTGACGTTGCTGCTAATGGTGATGATGCCGCAGCTGATGATGACAATGCTGCTGATGATGACAATGTTGCTGATGATGACAATGCAGCTGATGATAATGCAGCTGATGATGCTGAATGTTGCTGATGATGACAATGCAGCTGATGATAATGCAGCTGATGATGACAATGTTGCTGATGATGACAATGCAGCTGATGATGCTCAATGTTGCTGATGATGATAATGCAGCTGATGATAATGCAGCTGATGATGCTCAATGTTGCTGATGATGACAATGCAGCTGATGATAATGCAGCTGATGATGACAATGCAGCTGATGCTCAATGTTGCTGATGATGACAATGCAGCTGATGATGCTCACTGTTGCTGATGATGATAATGCTGCTGATGATGCTCAACGCTGCTACTGCAGCAGCAGCTGGTAATGATGATGGTGGTGTTGTTGAGGAATGAGAATGACATCAGTCAGCGATGCCGGGGTTTAATTCCGGCCTTGCTGTGGCTGAAGAGTCGAGAGGAGCTGGCGGCTGCTGCTGTTGTTGTTGATGCTGTTGTTGTTGATGCTGTTGTTGTTGGTGTTGCTGCTCGTGGTGACGCTGCCTCTCGACTCGCTGCCAAATCCACGCGGCGCCTCAGCGCGGCCGCGAGGGGCGTCGCCTGAAAGCCGCAACACCAGGGCCCGAACCACCGCCACCTCCTCCACCTCCTCCTCCTCGCCGTCTCTTCTCGTCTCCTCCTCCACCTCCTCCTCGCCGTCTCTTCTCGTCTCCTCCTCGCCGCCGCTGCCGCTAACCATGGCCAACAACGAGCTGGGTAATGCGCCACCGTCAGCCAGACGACGTCTCTCTCCTCTTCTCTCGCTCTCTGCGTACAGGGTAGCGATGGGGACTTGTAGAGACGTACAGGGTAGCGATGGGGACTTGTAGAGACGTACAGGGTAGCGATGGGGACTTGTAGAGACGTACAGGGTAGCGATGGGGACTTGTAGAGACGTACAGGGTAGCGATGGGGACTTGTAGAGACGTACAGGGTAGCGATGGGGACTTGTAGAGACGTACAGGGTAGCGATGGGGACTTGTAGAGACGTACAGGGTAGCGATGGGGACTTGTAGAGACGTACAGGGTAGCGATGGGGACTTGTAGAGACGTACAGGGTAGCGATGGGGACTTGTAGAGACGTACAGGGTAGCGATGGGGACTTTGTAGAGACGTACAGGGTAGCGATGGGGA